CTTTTCTCTGGCGGCCAAAAAGAGAGAGAGAGAGAGAAAGAAAGGAAAAGATATAGAGAAAAGGGGAAAATAAAACTTTAAACAAGTCCATGAAATGGGTTACAGCAGATGTTCTTTCGTTCTCTCACCTCTTTTTACGGTTCAAATGTTATCTCCATGAAAGCTGCAAGGTCCAAAACATGGGATGCTATTCGCCTGAAAAATTCTTACGATCGAACGTTTACTTCAACTTATGTAAAAAAATGTACAACATCATATCGCTGAGAAGCCGGGCACGACTCAGGCATTACTCAATTGTTTACTCTTTTTGCTGTACATAAACGACATCAATGCAAATTTCCAGTCCAAGATGCGTCTTTTTGCTGAGGATAGTGTGATTTATAGATAAATTAACAATAACAAATGACATCTCCATTCTTCAGCAAGACCTTCGAACCTTGTCTGACTGGTCAGCCAAATGGTTCATGGCTTTCGATGTCAAACGAATGTGACATCGTCGACATATTACTGAAAGCAAGAAGCGATGACTCTCGTACATTTGGAGCTATAATTCATTTTCTTCGCCGGGAAATGCAACTTTTGATACTCAGTCAAACAGCAAATGTGTTTTGGGAACTCATATCGGAATATTTGAATCATTGAAAGGGCGGATTTTTAACCACAGGAGGTTTTGAAACCAACGAGTAATCATGGTCATAACGAGAAAGTCGAGTTACGTAGATTCAGAGGGCAAGCCTGCCTCATTCACCGGGCCCGAAGAAGACGGAGCAAAGGGGTACACCGGAGAATTTACAAGCCATACACAACAAAAGACAAGCACTAGCACCGAACCTCTTAAAAATGCCAACATTCAATCTATTGTGGAGGCCATTGTCCAGGCATTCAGCGACAAACGCCTAGTAGAAGAGCGATTAGCCCCCGCTCTGGGACCAGTCTTAGCACCAGCACTAATTTCATAACTGCTTCATGATGGAACTTAAGGAACGAGACACAAAAATCCAACAGTTGGAATCAAAGCTGTCGAAAGCTGAAGCTCGTCTGGAAGATCTTGAGCAGTACTCGAGGAGAAACTGCCTCATCATCCACGGAACCAAGGAAACCTCGAACGAGAATACGGACCAGCTAATCTGTACACTCGCGAAAGATCAACTCAAAGTTGACCTCGCACCAGAGGACATCGATAGATCGCATCGGATCGGTCTCCACGGGAAAACCGACAAGAATGGTCGTCAACTACATCGGCCGATCATAGTCAAGTTCACCAAGTATGGTCCAAGATCACGCTTTTACGACGCAAGATCAAAGCTCAAAGCAACGAACATCTACATACATGAGAATCTCACCAGTGACAGACAAAGATTGATGGGAAAAGTGAAAGAGAGATACCCAGCACCGAACAAGATCTGGACACAGGATGGGAAAATTAGAGTGAAAACACCATAAAATGTGAAGATAGTAATATCATCAGAATCTGACTGGCAGAAACATAAACGGAGTACCTGAATTACTCTATGTTTACGCGATACACAGGATTTGAAATCTAGTTCCTCGTGTGTGTATGATGGTATAAGTACCAATTTTGTGAAAAAATTATACATCATATTTCTTATCCTCTAAAACACATTTTCAATTTGTCTTTGTCCACAGGCGTCGTCTCAGACAACCTAAAGAGAGCAAAAATAATTCCTGTTTATAAAAAGAATGATCCAAATTTAATCAAAGACTATCGCCCTATACTCTACTTCTCTACTTCCAACTCTTTCAAAAATCCTCGAACGCTTTTCACTTTATATAATGCCATTGTCCTGCCTTATTTCGATTATTGTAGTCTTTTATGGGGAGGGGCCAGCTCGTGTCATTTAAACAAGCTACATACTTTACAAAATAAAGCCATTCGTCTATGCTCAAACTCCCATTATCTTGCCCATACCCCGCGGTTGTTTAAGAAACTGAATATACTAAATTTACCAAATAAGTTATAACGTTCTGTATTATTATTGTGTTTTAGTTTGTAATGTCTTGTACACGTCTTGCATTTTGTTTTATTGTGAATTTTAATGTTTTGTATTTTCCACATTTGTCATTTATTTTATGGGTCCACCCACTTCTCTAAAGCCATCGGCTTTATCGGGTGTAAATGATCCAGCACAATTCTCAATGTATATATGAAGAGTTTCATTCCAAAAGGAGCTAAATCCACTTTGGGTTCTTCTCAGTAAATCGCCTTTTTTTATTTCTCCACTTTCCCTTTATCCATGCACCTTAATGTTTTTGTAAATTTTAAAGGTGTCACCCTGGAGCAATAATATATGATAAGAAAAAATCTACCAGTTTTTCCTGATTTTTGCTAAATTTTTAGAATTTTTGTTCTCATGGATTTAGCTCCTTTTGGAATGAATCATGATATTGTACCTGGAAAATTTCATATTTTCTCAACAAAGTCACTGAAATTTATTTAAATTTAGTAGCAAACCTCTCCTTTTAAATAATAATAGTGAAATCACAACTAAAAATACCTTTTGAAAAGATAGTAAACAACATATCACAGTTTCATTCCAAAAGGAGCTAAATCCGATTCATTCCAAAAGGAGCTAAATCCATGTTTCATTCCAAAAGGAGCTAAATCCACAAAATCTAAAAATTTAGTAAAAATCAGAAATAACTGGTAGATTATTTTTCTTATCATATATTATTTGTCCAGGGCGACACCTTTAACATATAAAACAACATAAAGGTACATTGCTAAAGGGAAAGTGGAGAAATAAAAAAGGTGATTTACTCAGAAGTACCCAAAATGGATTTAGTTCCTTTTGGTATGAAACCGATTTGGATTTAGCTCCTTTTGGAATGAAACATGATATTGTACCTAAATTTGTTCATACTTCCTGGTGAAATTTTCGAATGTCATATAGTGCATTTTGTCCCCATGTAGGAAATCGTTATTTTAAGACAAATAACTCCATTTTGATAAAATATGGATTTAGCTCCTTTTGGAATCAAGCTCTTCATATAATGTATGTGATTTTGTATGAAATAATAAATTGAAATTGAATGAAATAGTAGGCCTCCCTTACCATCGCGAGGAAAATAACACCCATACAGCATGACTACCAGATTTCCAACGAGATAATACCCAGGATAGACAAGTACAAGTATCTCGGTGTAACTGTAACCAAGGACGTTCAATGAAATAAACACTGCCAACTCTTACTGAACAAGGCCAACTAAACCCTTGGTTGCTGCGGAGAACCCTGGCACCACGCACCATGGATGTAAAGTCACGAGCGTACACAGCCCTGGTTCGACCGCAGCTAGAATATGGCGCTGAAGCCTGGAACCCTCACACTTCTCGTGCCGCCGGAGGTCTGGAAAGGGTACCGGAAACAGCTGCACGTTTTGTCTTTCGCGACTACCGAAGATCCACGTCAGCTACAGGGATTGTGCTCCAGCTGGGGGGGGGGGGATAAACTGCACACACGTCGACTTCTAGCACAAAGCACCATGCTCTTTAAAATACACCACCAGCAAGTCAACATTTGTCTTCCTCACCTCATAACTAAAGCTGCATACGTCAGAAGAAGAGCCACACATTCAAGCTCTCTGTTCCTGAGGCAACAATAGACTCCTACAAATACCATTTTTACCCCCGGACCATTCGCATCTGGAATTAACTACCAGTGCAGTTACTGTTCCAACAGTTGCTGCTTTCTAAATGACCACCCTCCCTGTCATCAGAGGGTTGGAACCTCCTGTATGATCCAGAATGCTGTAAACCATATAGCAGCATGATTTTGTTGTTTACTAAAACGTCACTGTTTTACTACATAAATTGTACACCCTTTTGTTGTCTGCACCTTCACCTGCTATCACAACACATCCTATCCCAGTATAGCTTGGAAAAGTTCCTTCAGGGATTACCTCATCAAGTTGCTGTGTCGGGTCAGCTGTGTCGGTATTCTCGCTCAAACCCCGTTTACTATATCAATGCAGAAGTTTGAACTCGGTAAGATGAACAGTGTGAGTCCAAAAAAAGCGTACACCTAGAAAATTGCTAATTATTTTAAATATCATCTATGAACTGTAAATTATTATGCATCATATGAAAGAGTGTTTTATCCCCGATATTTTAGTATCATTTGTGTGTGGTATGTGTTTACGCTTGAATGAACAGGAGGCATTGTTTGCTCCTAACTTGTTTCAACCATACCTTTTCCACGGGACTTCCCTCTCCTTCTCTCCTTCTCTCTCTCTCTCTCTCTCTCTTAACCTTTCATTAGGTAACTTCATATGGTAAATGGTTGGGAGAAAATAACTCAATTAAAAGACAAAATTTGCCCAAATTCGATTTATCCAGTAACATCTGCCAAACTTTTTTTTTTACAATGTGAAGGGTTTGAAGGCTAAAGAGAAACAGAGAAGCGAATAATTAGTTAAAGGCAATTGATTTAATGGGCTTATTGCCCCCATTGGGGTGGTGGATGTTTCGGTGAAAATGTCATTTGTAATTTGTCTAGCAAGAATTGTAAACGTTTTCTCATGTTTAATTAACTATAAGAAGTTTTCCTCTTTTTTTTACTTTAAAAAGGTTACATGTGTTTTTGAGGACACCTTAGAATATCCAGGAAATGTAGGTCAGGGCAAAGTTCAGAGCCATATCCTCAAGTCAGAGAACGGACATGTTTGTCCACCATTTTTGTTGAATTTTATCACAATTATCTACGCGAGGGTTAATTGTGTTCAACCGTTTCGAGTATACCCTGCTAAAGATGTAGGTATTTATTCGTTCAAATGCGATTATTATAAGCAAGGGTATAATGTTGAAATTTAGAGTTAAAATGTAATGTTAACATGGAGAATTAACAAGCGTGGAATGTATACAATTTGTGTGGCCAGGTATGGCGAGAGTGTTTTCGGTCAGTAAGGTTATTACCATAATTGTCTAAAATATGTGTGGTGATGTATTTGTATAAATAATGCATCATATGCTAGATTTATTTGTTGGCATTAACAGTAATATTTGAGAATATTGACATTTAAGGTGATAAATAAGGAATACAATTTCGAGGTATAGACCCTAGGCCTACATTAACAATTGGTAAATACCAAAAAGGTATTTTGATGCAAACTTAGGATATAACTGCTTAGCCAGGTCAATATTTAATGGTTTGACAGAACGATGTCATTGGTTTAAGAAATGAATACGTAATCGTAAGACAACGATTCTAATGATTTCTTCATCATTTATTTTTCATGCAGATTGAATAAATACTCGATTTATTGAGGACTATCCAACTCAACGGGGCATAATCGACTTAGCATTCCTTCTTTCTGTGATCCAAATAATAAGAAGAAGAATAATAATAATATAGCGCTAACATCCACCAGGCGCGTAATGTTCTCAATCAACGCTCTGAAATTATCTCGGCTCTAGCTGGGCTCCGATTTCGGTGCTAACAGCATTCAAGAAATTCCTTTCTACTGGTACCCATTAAACACTTTCATGATCCTGACCTCGGTGGAGAGTTGCAAGTATGTCTTGCGAGAAGACTTAATATAGTGCCGCGCCGAGGCTCGAATCCACGCCCTTCGCATCTCCAGTCGTGTTTATACCATGAAAGAAAATTAATATATGTGCAGGAAAAGATTGAAGGACAAACAAAAAAAGACTTGTCTGATCAAAGGTCAGAAAACCTTTGAGAATATTCATACAGCATATCTGAAGTCAAATATTGACACAAGCGGTAAACTAGTATGTATTCATGTACAGCGGCATGAATGATTGCAGTTTCAACTATGACTTCTCTCACGACAGTAATTGTTGTTCTGCTTGGATTTTTACACATCGGTGAAGGAGGTAATATCCTGATATTCAGTGGATATGGGGAAGGAAGTCACTTCCTGACTGCTGCTCTTGTTGGCAAGGAGTTGATGCATCGTGGCCACAACGTCACTGTGATAATAAGCAATGCTTACGAGCACAGAGTTAACGAAACCAAATACAAGGATTTAAACTTTGAAATCTTCAAGCACAACGTTCCCCCCGAGGAAGTTCGGATGCGGGTTGAGCGTTCTACAGAGTCGATCTTTAAGGGAACCTGGTTCACGGACGTCATTTCGAACTTGACAACCCTAACGGGTGAGATCCTCGATGACTGCAATGGGTTGTTCAACGATAAGGCACTTCTACAAAGGCTCCTGCAAGCTAAGTTCGATGTGGCTTTTGTTGATCCCATATGGCCGTGCTCGTTGCTTGTGGCTGAGTACGCAGCCAAGAGACATGTTTCTTTTATGGCTACTACATGGATGAACAACATGGCCCGCGTCAATGGGAATCCTTCAAACACCGCCTTCGTTCCGGAGATGAGTACTGGTTTCACAAATAAGATGACATTTATCCAGCGGGTTATCAACAGCATCATGGTCATGCTCCAGATGTGGCTACACTTTTCTTTTATAGATGGTTATACCAATATTCAACATGCCCATGGGATTTGCCCAGATCTCCAGGTCTCGGAGCTCTACAAAAGGTCACAACTGCTTCTGGTTAACGTCGATTTCGCATTAGAGTTTTCGATTCCCATCATGCCGCATTTGATACCAGTCGGTGGCCTGTCTTCAGGACAAGCAAATAGTCTAACTCAGGTTAGTCTTATCTCACGTTTCTGCCATTTCTACAAGACAGAAAAAACTCATCTATTCAAAAGAGTGTTACTTTCTGAACCAGAATAACGAATGATTTCCCTCCTTCCAACAATTCTTCCAATCGCCATTAGGCGTCGACGTACTACTAGTCGAGGGAGTGGATGGTGGATACGTTAACTATGTCCCTTTTGCAGCCAACCAAATTCTGTAGAACTTTGCAGTAATTACGAATATGAGTGACTGACTGACAGGTTTTTTCCTTTGGTAATAACATACATAATTGAGCTGTAACAGGTACATGAGCATTTGTCTCTACATCAATAACATACTACTTGTAATGGCCAAAATGTAACTGATTGAATCATTGTGCAGTACAAAACGTACTGACGACCATTCGGTTAAAGGGTCCGAAAATCAGACTATTACTGAGGTGATTGCAATCACTAAACTCGGTTATTATTTTCTCACTAAAAGCCATTTTCAAGCCTTTTCGTTTTGAGGGAAGTTCTAAATTAGTATTGTCTGTCAAATGCCATTGGAATTTAACCTTTTCATTTTTTGGCCTGCAAATGGGAGATAGTACCTTTAAAGGGGAACTTCACCTTAATATAATTAGTAGGATTTTATAAAAGTAGAAACATTAGACAAATCGAATGAATTAATGTGTTAATTATTTGTACACATTTTTTTCTCACATCGATGATTATATTGGGTTTCATTTTGAAGGTGTTAACTAACTTCATGAACGAGGAGCCTATACGCCCCTTTCCTATAGTTTCATTTTCCGTATAATATTCACGTAAGAGTTGATTCAGTCACCACGGTTTGAGACATTGATTGCAATATGAAATTAATTGAAAATATGTTGTATGATCTAGATTTCCTAAATTCATTATTCATTCCTTTTGTGAACATAACCGGGACTTTGGGCCCCCAAATTACTGGCGGTCTATATGGCTTTTATAACAGTTTTATGACTGTATGTTGACTTAAATGCTGAAATTTACCGACCATTGTTGTCGGCAAAGCAATAGGGACTGATACGTGTGACGTCCATTCAAGGCAGTGCATTAAAAGGACGTCGATCGTAGCATAGACCTATTGAGTGATTTCAAGTTGGGTGTTAGTATTAGTGTTAGTGTTTAGAGCAGTCAAGAGCTCTTAAATCGAGCGGAAAATTTACTGATGAAATTAAGAGCCCGATACCGATATCAAAATCGATAGCTGAACACCAGCTGTGACGTCACCACATACTTGATTTCACGACGATGATTTAAAAACAGTACATCAAAACTAAAGATATCATGAAAAGTACAGAATAAATTTACACCTATTTCTCTGGTCTTATAAAATAACTCATTTTACACATAAGAATATATGAATTACCTGTTTCACATATTTTTATTTGATCGTCAGACAATAAATTGACGTCGATCGTGCGTTGACTGTGTGCGGATACAACACTAACACCGAACTGGAAATCAACATTTGCTTAATCCCTAGGGGCTAGTGTTAGTGAATAGGACATTTGTACGTAAAATATTAACACCAGCCACAAAGGTCGGTTCAGCAGACGACAATTTTGCAAAATCGATAACACTAGCTACCGGAAGTTGACGATATTCAGAGGTCAAAGCCTTAACACCAGCTGATTTCCATTTCGGTGTTTAGGCTGGTGTTAGTGTTAGTGTTAATAAACACTAACACCAGCTGATTTCCATTTCGGTGTTTAGGCTGGTGTTAGTGTTTATTAAACACTAACACTAGCCTTAAACACCCAACTTGAAATCACTCATTGTCTTCGTGCGAATCTAAAAGTCCCTAATGTCTACTCGACGACAGCTCTTGATGATTTCATAATTATCTAATAATACAAGGCCATGTAGATCATGTTTGTAATGTGACCTAATTTAATGCTCAAATCTTTGTTAAATGGAATGCCTCGTTACAAATGATTTTATTTACCTGTTACGAATGACTGTATTTCAACAGTCAGAATGCAAAGTGCATGCATTAATTGTTGCTAGGTAGTTCGGGGGCACTACCGGCCCGAGGGCTAGAAAAATACCCCTAAACGCGTATACCGGCGTGTACATCAGGATTTTTAACCATTTTGAAAAAGTACCTTTTTTCTTGAAAAGGCTAAAAATGGACGTTTTGAACCCCTTAATGCGGCACCGCTCGGACCGCGTCCAATCTACACTGCAAAAACCAGGGTGTTAAATTTCTAACACCAGTTTGGTATTGAATTTGTTTGACACCATTGGTGTTATTTTTAACACCGGTCAGATTTAAGCATGCATTAATAATTACTTGGTGTTATGTAACATGGTGTTGTTTTATGCTCAGTGTTGAAAGTATCATCACGTGATTTGGTTTAAGGTGGTTGATTGGTCGAATAAGTTTTCACAAAGTGTACGCGCGCTTAATGATTACTTTACACGTGTTCACAGAAGAATACATTTATCATGATTTGTTAAGCAAATTATGACAATGCACATCAATTTTGTGATTTGTATTTTCCTTTGGCAATTATTGACCAATAGATAATTTGTCCGATCTTGTTACAATTACATTAACGTTTTAGCAATAGATATATTGATTTTAAGATTACTAACCAAGAAACAACATGCATATTCATTATACATTCGTGTACCAGCCTGTATCATTTAAATGTTAATCTTGAAATTACTTCAAATGATCTATGTAATGGAGTTAATGCGATGGAGATTAGAATATACCTATTGGTGGACAGTTGCCAACATCGATTATGAATTAACAGTTTACCATTGGTTCTTCTACCCTGGTCGATAATAGGAAATATGGAATGTGGGGCCATTGGATCTACAAGAATATAAACACCAAACGTGGAATTGAATTTGTTATGATTCCAGATAGTGTTGTTAATCTACACCAGTAGGAGTTGTCAAATATTACCACCAAGAGTGGAATTGAATTTGTTATGATTCCAGATATTGGTGTTAATCTAAACCAGTAGGAGTTGTCAAATATTAACACCAAAAGTGGAATTGAAATTATCTAATTCCAGAAAATGGTGTTAAGTCACACCAGAGGAGTTTCTTCCTGCATGCATGTATATCGTCGAGTATATCTAATAGATTTCTAATTGTAGTCAACATGGGCAGTTGAGTACGTTGACACGCATAATCAGTCGGCGTTCGTCGTGTTCTCGTCCACTCAATCTAAAAGTCCCTTATGATGTCCTGAGGCTCGTACCAAACAAAAGAGAACGTCATGCTCAGCCAGTATTTGAACAGTGATGCACATCGTGATTCGCATTAATGCAAGGTTGTGTGAGGGTCTTTTCATTCTTCTATTCGTCATTATAGTCGCTGATGGTCTTATACCAGAAGACTACAGATAAGAGACGAAACAGGGAGAAAGTTACTCTTGAGCTCTCCGTTTTTGTGCGTTTCTGACGCTCCTACAAACCAGGCAAGATGACAAAATTATCTCTCTTTATTTTCTTGGGTTTATTTTCGCGGGTACCCGGTGCCAATATTCTCATTTTCAGCGGATATGGAGAAGGAAGCCATTTCTTCGTTGCGGCAAATATTGGAAAGGAATTGATTAATCGCGGACACAATGTTACTTCTCTTATTAGCATTGCGTATAAAGAGCGGTCGGGGGAAGAAAGGTATAAGGATATAAACTTTGAGATCTTCTCTCATAAAGTTTCACCGAATGCTGTTCTTGCACGCCACGACAGAAGAACGAAGAAGGCGTTCGAAGGATCGCACGTGCTGGATATAGTATTTAATGTGTCTCACTTCGTCAACGAACAGATCGACGACTGTGAGTCCATCTTAAACGATCACGACCTCGTACGAAGACTGGACGATCACGATTTCGACCTCGCCTTGATTGATCCCTACTGGATTTGCGCGCTGGTAGTAGCAGAACGATTTGCGCGTATCCACGTCTCTGTCATGCCGACTTCTTGGTGGAACATGCTGTCGCGCCTCCATGGCAACCCCGTCAATCCCGCTCACCATCCCGAACTTTCGACGGGTTTCAACCCGAACATGTCTCTCCTAGAACGATTAAAAAGCATGCTATGTTCGTCTTTTACATGGATCATGCAATGGTCTGCGGATCAGCTGACACCCTTAATGCGTCAACATGACATTTTACCGGGAATGAAAGGGTCCGATATTTTCAGCAGGTCTCAGCTCTTCATAGCTAATGTGGATTATTCTCTCGAGTTTCCCTTAGCCATCTACCCCCATATCATCACGGCGGGAGGTCTTACAACACAACCAGCCCAAGATCTCACCAAGGTAAATTAATCCCCGATTATGATAATGCTCACAAATTATTGTTCACCTATCCCAAGTGTTTCCTCTCCCTCCTGCCCAATCTAAACTCTCTGGTCCGAATTTACATAGGAGGTTTTGTCGATAAACCTAGGTTTATATTTGCGTCGTATACAAACCTTGTTTTGAAACGCGTCGAAACGCGTCATAATTATGACGCACATAAGCCTAGGTTTGTCGACAAACCTCCTTGGTGAATTTGGGCCAATATGTTTAGCTACTTTATGGAGACATAATACATACAGGGACAGGGTACATACATTCTATACCAGGTGCGAGAGAGACTTTATTCTGTCATTAACTCAACGCCATAACAACAGTGGGCGCTATACACATTGTATCACCCAGAGCTCAGCATTCTCTTTAAATTTGAAAAAAATCTTCCAGAAAATCGTAGCTAAAAATAAAAACACGTGGGAAGCTTGCACAGAACGAATGCGAATCAATATGCTGTTCGGATTTAAATAGTGTTTACATAGCTCGATGCATTTGAAAAGGAATTTACATGACAGTAAAGAATACCCATGCGATCATTGTCCTGTAACTTGCCATGTCTTCGTGTATACACTTCGTTTGTACTCTCTATTTCTCCGCCGTCTACTCATTGAGTTAGAAATGGATCGAGTCACACCAACTTTTACGAAAAAAATTCCTAATTTCTCCAGACTGGTGGTGCTGTTTTTACTTTTACGAGCGAGAATCTTCTGCGATGCTGCAAATATCTTTGTCTTTGCCGGGTACGGAGAGGGTAGTCGCTTCATGTCGTCTGCTAGCATTGCTGTAGAGCTTGCCAAGCGAGGACACAACGTCACGGCCCTTGTCAGCAACGCGTATAGTTACCGGGCGGAGGACGAACATTATCGACATATATCATTCGAAATCTTCACGCACAAAGTTTCTCTCGAAGTGGTGAAGGAGCGCCAACTCCGTATCCCCAAAGCAGCCTATAGCAAAAAGAAATCATGGATGTTCGATTTCGTGACGAAGATCAACACGATTGCGGACGAGCACATCAACGATTGCGAAGCGATTCTCGATGACGAGCAGCTGGTCGGACGGTTGCTCGACCGCGAGTTCGACCTCGCAATCATCGACCAGTTCTGGCCCTGCTCAATGCTGGTGGCCGAGCATGTCGCTCGTCGTCACATCTCCATCATGCCGGCCGCCTGGATGAATACGATTGGACGCCTCAACGGAAACCCCACCATCCCCGCCATCGTACCCGAGGTCAACACCGGGTTCAACCAGCAAATGACCTTTAAACAAAGAATTAAAAACCTCTCGCTTTCCTTCCTCGTCTCATTGTCCTACTGGGTAGCTAATAAATTCACTCCGTTAATGAGAAAGCATCATATTTGTTCTGGCCTTTATCCTTCCGATCTCTATCAACGAGCTCAGCTTTTAATATCCAACGTCGATTTCGCCTTGGAGTTCCCGATCGCGACACAACCTCATGTTATCACTGTTGGTGGATTAACAACTAGACCGTCAAATCCATTGCCTCAGGTAATTCTTAATCAGTCAAGAACATCCACACACAAAGCGTAATGAACATATTTTCAGGAACGCTTCCATTTTAAATTTACTTATTTTGGATTCGACGTGATGTGTATGTCAAACGACATTGCCATCATAATGCAGAAAGTATTTTAGTCTGCATTTTCATTGCAACATAGTGTGAATATCTATCAAGACCTCCTTGGTGAAAAATGTACTCGGCTTAAAAAAATATGAATTCAACCTAACTAAAATTTATCAAAAGGTTTATTGTTTGAACAATTTGTATCTCTCTACTTCTGTGAATCAGGGCCCCGTCTTACAAAGAGATAGGCTATTCATATTTCATCACTCCTGACCCTTAAAGGTATTGTTTAACCAAAAACATCAACGAAACACTTCAGTAATGTTGTAGAACATAAATAAAAGATTATTTTGGGAGCGTTGAGTCGGTCAATCCGCTATGTTTAAGAACATTAAAGCATATTAAAAAATCCGAAAAAATAAGATAGTGTTATATAATGTTATAAGGATGATTGGCTTAAAACTTCACAGACTGCAGGAATGCGTAATAAAAATGGAACATGCACACAGACTTTGATTGTAAATAAGTATAGGTAATGACTACATCGAATACATCTTGTTTGATTGTTTTGTTTTTATGTTTACTTTGATATGTACACATGCACATGTATAATATACATGTAAATATTAGAGTAGTATCAATATACTTACGTGCAGTGTGCATATATTACATATACTAGATGGTGTATCAATAATTGATTAATCATTAGGTTCATTATCATGTTTGATTTGATGCGCAATGTGTGCATAAGACATGCCCTACACTTCAAAGTTACAGAAACAAAAATCGCTCGTTCATTACTCAGAGGCTAAATATATTTTTTAAACATGGCAAGCCCATAAATACACCATAAGTATATATGTTTTCGATTTAAATCGAAGAGTACACAAGACGTCGCTTACTGAACTGTCCTTGTACGAACTGTCGTCACAGCTATTAATAAGTCCTTCTTGTATTGTTAAGTTACACTGCACTGTCATCCCCGCAAACATTCGTTTCATTCAACTTTCCCTTATAATATAATCCTTCCCTACTCGAGCTCCTCAAGAACAGTATAGAGACGTCATGGTAGAAGAATCCCATTGTAATATGATGCATTTTGGCGGCTTTTCCATTCATCCAAATGAATGGAGTTCGCAACTCTCTCTCTCTCTCTCACTCTCTCTCTCTCTCTCTCTCTCTCTCTTCTCTTCAGTCCACTCTACTTCTGTCTTTCTCTCTCTTATCTTCTTCTTCTCTCTCTCTCTTCTCTTTTTCTCTCTCTTTTCTCTTCGTTCCTATTTTCTTATCTCTCTCTCTCTCTTCTAATCCATTCAGTCCTCTCTTCTCCTCTCACTCTATATCTTCTCTTTCCATCAACCCTCTCTTCTTCTTCTTCTCTCTCTCTCTCTCTCTGTGAAGGGCCGGGGCTCTTAGGAAACCTAGTGAAACGCAGAGAGAGGGTTCCCACAAGTAGCCATATTGGAGGACAAACAATAAAACCCTGTGCATCAGACTATAACAAGTCATTGTTTTCATGGTCTAAGAGCACGGGTTTGTTAATATTGGTTTGTACTCCAATATGGCTGCTTGTGGGAACCCTCTTTTGTCGAGTGAATCGAATAAAGCCTTATTCAGCTCAATAGAAGATGTCTTTTTACATAAGAAAAGTGCCCCTTTTCCTTTAAAGGAATTGACACTTTTTCCTAATCAACAAGTGTTCAATGGAATTTGATATGTATCAGACTCTTTTATAATTATATTCATAAACTTCTCTCTCTCGATCTCCCTTTCATCAAGGACTTGGAAGAGTATGTCCAGAGTTCTGGTGATGCCGGGATCATCGTCTTCTCCCTCGGGACCTATGTGACGTACATGAAGGAGGAGCTCATCGCCGTATTCGCCAACGCCTTCGCCAAGCTCCCTCAGAAAGTCATATGGCAGTTCCGAGGCACGCCACCCGCTATCCTCGATAAGATACCCAACATAAAAACCATGGAGTGGCTGCCTCAAAACGACTTGCTTGGTAAGGGTAATCTTGTGTTTCGACGTAGAACCCCGGCACCCCCCCCCCCCCCCCATAATCTAAAGGATTTTTGATATCATCTTTATGATTAATGTGGTATAGGAACGCAGCCTAGCATCGTATAGTATGTACATCGGCCATCATGTTATTCTGCTCTCTATTTAATTAATCAGATTAGCCTAATAAATACATGGTCGGGGTTTTTTTTGTGACATCTTTACAGAATGAAACTCCAAGGTCTGTTCATTATACTAAATTCAGTTAAACCCGACGTCGGATCTAAGAAAACGTTTGCCAAAAGGAAAATCTAGACGGCCTCATGCAGCTCAGACTAACATAATTTATTGAATTCGATTTACGAAAAAAAGCGTAAAGCCAGCGGTGGGTTTTAAGTTTAGTAGAATATGTTTTAGGAAAAACGCGATGGGCTTGGCTGCATGATGTCCTGTATCTTACCATCGTTAAGTCAACTTTATATTCAACAGTGGCGTAATGAGCAAAAACGTTTGGGGGGGGGCTGGCAAAAAATCTGAATCACCCCATGCACTCTAACATGCAGGCCCCGCTGAACGTTTCTCCAAGTGGGGTCAAGGGGCGGAGCCCCTGAAGCTCAAGGGGTATTGGCATCAGTGGCGAATCCAGGAATTTCTTACGGGGGGGAGGTGGCACAAAATTGCATGGGGTGAAATATACAACGATGAAGCGATAGAACGAGGCTTAAACGGCGAGGGAGCGGAGCGACCAAGCAGAAGGTGGTACTGGGAGGGGGTTCTGGCCCCCTCCCAGAGTAAGAAGCATTTGCAATTTTAGAACCAAATTAGAGGCATTATCAGGCACTTCCTGAAGTAATATGACGTAAAATTGCTTTCTCCTACCCCTTCCAAGAGTAGGGATCTTTTGCAATTTGAGAACCACGTTTGGCGCATTAATGTCCACTGGCACTTCCTGGGAAAAAGAGGCCTTCTGATTGGTAAGAAGTTAGAGAAAAGTGATCTGTGACGTCGTGAGACGTTGTATAAATTAGGCTTTGATGCCGCACAATGCACAAAGACGGTGGTCCGGTACTTCACGAGTAGTACTTGCAAAAATTATCTCGAGTGTATAAACTGTGTCGTTATCAGGGGCGCCCATCCCGCGCGAAGCGCTGAAGCTTTCACGTTTCATTAAATTATAAGAAAAAGAAGACGATTCGTTGTATCGTGTTCTTGTCTAAATTCAGTTTCTCCCCTTCCGCGCGAAGCGCGGAAGCCTTGACACTTCATAAAATTATTAGGAGAGAAGACGATCCGTTGTACTATTCTCAATTTTTAAATCTTGTTTCGCCCCTTCCACGCGAAGCGCGGAAGCTATGACGTTTCATTTAATTATTAGAGGAAGAAGACAATTCATTGTACCGATCTTTGTCTGAATCCTTGTCTGAATTCAGTCCCCCTCCCCCTCCCGTGCGAAACACTGAAGCTTTGACGTTTCAATAAATTATTACTATTAATCCTTGTCTGAATTCATTTTCGCCCATCCTGCGCGAAGCGCGGAAGCTTTCACGTTTTATTAAATTTGTAGAGAAAGAAGACGATTCATTGTACCGTTGAACCGTTCTTGACTCCTAATCCTTGTCTAAATTCAGTTCCCCCCCCCCCTTGACGTTTCAATAAATGATTACTATTAATCCTTGTCTGAATTCATTTTCGCCCATCCCGCGCGAAATGCGGAAGCTTTCAAGTTTTATTAAATTATTAGAGAAAGAAGACGATTTGTTTTATCGTGTCTTTGTCTGAATTCAAAGCGCGGAAGCTTTGTCCTTTCATTTAATTATTACTCTTAATCCTTGTCTGAATTCATTTTCTTGTTTCATTAAATTATTAGAGAAAGAAGACGATTCGTTGTACCGTTCTCGACTCTAAATCCTAGTCAGAATTCAGTTGCCCCCCCCCCCCCCCCTCCTCCCGCGCGCCGTTTCAATAAATTGTTAGAGAAAGAAGACGATTCGTTGTACCGTTCTCTACTCTTAATCTTGTCTGAATTCAATGTCCCCCACTGGGCCCCTTAACGGTATATGTGCAGTGTTACATGATGTAAGTACGGAACGTATGGTGGCCCTGAAGGGACATCGCGAATAGACTAAATCGTGAAAAATATGCGATAAAATTCACGATATCGTCAATTTTATCGTATATTTTTCACGAAATTGACGATATCGTGAACTTTATCGTGAACTTTTCACGATGAAATTGACGATATCGTGAATTTTAATCGTGTACTCTATCGTGTACTCTATCGTGTACTCTATCGTGTACTCTCCTGACGGGCGCTTCGTAAACAAAACCAGCCCTAGCTGTGGGAGACAGAGAGAAGGAAAAAAGGGAAAGGGAAAGAGAAGATAAAAGGAAAGAAAGAATAATAAGAAGAAAAGAGGGAAACGGGGGGGGCGAAGGGCTCTTGCCTCCTCCTGACTCCCCCCCCCCCCCCCCCCCCCCCCTCCCCGCCAAAAAATAAATTAGAGAGAGAGAGAGAGAAGGGAAAGGGAAAGGGAAAGAGAAGATAAAAGGAAAGAAAGAAGAGGAAGAAGAAGAAAAGAGGAAAACGGGGGAAGGGCGAAGGACTCTTGCCCCCCTCTCCCCCCCCCCCCCGCCAAAAAATAAATCAGAGAGAGAGAAGGGAAAGGGAAAGGGAAAGAGAAGATAAAAGGAAAGAAAGAAGAGGAAGAAAAAGAAAAGAGGGAAACGGGGGCAAAGGGCTTTTGCCTCGTCCCCCCGCCCCCCGCCAAAAAATAAATAAGAGAGAGAGAGAGAAGGAAAGGGAAAGAGAAGAAAGAAAGAGAAAAACGAAAAAGAGGGAGAATAGGAAAGAAAGGAAAAGAAAGAAAAGAAAGGAGGCAAGAGCCCTTCGCCCCTGTTTCCCTCTTTTCTTATTCTTTTTCCTCTTCTTTCTTTCCTTTTATATTTTCTTTCCCTTTCCCTTCTCTCTCTTATTTATTTTTGGCGGGGGGGGAGGAGGCAAGAGCCCTTCGCCCTTCCCCTGTTTCCCTCTTATTCCTCTTCTTTCTTTCCCTTTCCCTTCTCTCTCTCTCTCTCTCTCTCTCTTATTTATTTTTTTGGCGGGGGGGGGGAGGTAAGAGCCTTTCGCCCTTCCCCCGTTTCCCTCTTTCCTTCTTCCTCTTCTTTCTTTCCTTTTATATTTTCTTTCCCTTTCCCTTTCCCTTCTCTCTCTCCTTATTTATTTTTTGGCGGGGGGGGGAGTGAGGAGGAGGCAAGAGCCCTTCGCCCCCCCCCCCCGTTTCCCTCTTTTCTTCTTATTATTCTTTCTTTCCTTTTATCTTCTCTTTCCCTTTCCCTTTTTTCCTTCTCTCTATCTCCCCCAGCTAGGGCTGGTTTTGTTTACGAAGCGCCCGTCAGGAGAGTACACGATAGAGTACACGATAGAGTACACGATAAAATTGACGATATCGTGAACTTTATATCGTGAACTTTTCACGATAAAATTCACGATATCGTCAATTTCATCGTGAAAAGTTCACGATAAAGTTCACGATATCGTCAATTTCGTGAATTTCTTCGTGAAAAATATGCGATAAAATTGACGATATCGTGAATTTTATCGCATATTTTTCACGATTTAGTCTATTCGCGATGTCCCTTCAGGGCCACCATAGCTTTGCACCGTAGCTTCTGGAAAGGAATTTGTTTACTAGTGGTACTGTTAGTGGCCACTATAAGGACCTTAGTGACTATAAAAAACATATGTTCTCCCTAGCTATTTGGGAATTGGTCAGCTAGTCTGCAAGAAATAATAGAGAAACTAGCATTTTGTTGAAAATCATGTGATATCACAAACATTTATACATCACTTGTGAAAATAAGTCATGGTACGCCAGTGTCGCTCAAGCCTCGAAACCTCTATTCATTTTTAAGGGTCATTTGGGGGGATTTTTCTCGCAAAATTTTTTTTTATAATTTTCAGGTCGAGATTTTTGGAAATTTTGAAAAAACGGATCCATGTTTAGAGATTTTTTGTGAAAATTGACCCATTTGAACGGCACACCCGCATATATCTAAATATGTGAGTACCCCCCCCCCCCCCCCCCCCCGTGTAGATTGCATGAAATGAATCTTGAAAGTAGATAGAACAAGAAATATCACAACAAAATTATTTTTAAAAGTACAATTATTTAGAAAGCTGACTCCCTTAGGAATACGAAGACTGTTAGGCCTATGTTAATATCTCTGAAACTGTTTTAATAAGAAGGGGTTTTAAAGATCCCTATCGAATGAGTGAAAGAGCGAGTGGTGACGTCATCATTTTATTTCAAAAGACGTTAATTTCCATATTAATGTGCCATTTATCATCAATGTTTACAGGTCACAACAAAACCCGAGCATTCATGTACCAGGGAGGTAACAACGGCCTCTACGAAGCCCTCTACCATGCCGTGCCGGTCGTCGTCATACCCTTGATCGGCGACCAGCCCGACGTCGCCGCTCGTGTGATGACTCGTGGCATGGGGCTCTCACTCGACATCATGACCATTACTACGGAGAAGATCGTTGACACTCTCAATGCCGTTATTCATGAAAAGCAGTGAGTATCTTGAGTGGAAATTTTCGGTGGAAAGGGGAGACGTGTCCGCCGTATTTTAAACAGAGAGCATCAATAATGTCAACACACACACAAGCACGCGCGCAATTTAAATTTGCCACCAACTCCCGAAACCGAACTTTTGAAAAAGACCCTTTGAAATGTGCAAACCTTCTTTTTTCTTTTTCTTCTTCTTCCTCCTCCTCTTCCTCTTTCCTTCTTCTTTTTCTCCTTCTTCTTCTTCTTCTTCTACCCTTTCTTCTTCTGCTTTGAGAAATTCATAGTAAAAGTAACAACATAGCATGACCTAATTTTAATTACAATTTTTTTTAAAGTACAGTGTATTTCATAGTCGTTCAATTATGTAAACAATTACTGCCATACATGTATATGCAATACATTTCGAGTAACCCCTTTAAATTGTTCAATTTTTCTCACCATTCCAGTTACAAAGAAACGGTAAAACGAATGTCTGCTATTTTCCACGACCGACCGATGCGACCCGTCGAAAAGGCCGCGTTTTGGATCGAACACGTAATCAAGCACGGGGGCGAGTACATGCGATCACCGATTCATGACCTCACCTGGTATCAATACTACCTCCTCGATGTCGTCGCCTTTCTCCTTCTCGTGCTCGTCGTCGTAATCGTTTTTATAGTTTATTCGTGTAAATTTGCATTTAGGTGTTGCAAGCGAGTTTTAGTTGGTAAGAAAGCAAAAACTGATTAGTGATAGAGTTAATAGTTAATACATTTTAAATAATTAAGATGTTTCAAATAGTGAATATTTTCAAAAAATTAAAATTTTCAAAACTAACTTTAACTCAAATAAGTAACGGCACAATCATTTGTCGTTCTAGACTTTATTTGTCAAGGTAAAAGGCTAAAAGCAACATTTGAAATTATATTTTATCAGTGCTTGATACGTCTTATCGATGTTGCATGAAATGGGAAACGTTGATTTTCAAAAACGTTTTATTTGTCATTCGTAGATGAACGTGTCTTTTTCCTGGTTAACCGTACAGACCATTAATTGTGTATACCGTATAATTTTCATACCAAAATCTCGTCCTGTATTATTTCATATCTCATATTGATAACTCTATGCATGCATCATTATTATAACGGCTAAGTCTGGGAAGTAGATTTGTTATGGATGAATTAAATTTGCTATACATCAAATTTGAAACCACTGTCTATGCATGATAATAAAAACAAAACTGCGTGAGACGAGAAAGGGAGAGAGAGAGGGAGAGAGAGGGAGAGAGAGAGAGAGAAGGTGAAGGAGAGAGAGAGAACATAGAGATAAGCAAAATGAGAAAGAGAGATAGAGAGGGGGAAGAAATAGAGATAAATAGAGTAAGACAGGAGAGAGGGAAGGGGTAAAAGGGAGAAATAGAGATAAATAAAGTAAGAAAGGAGAGAGGTATATACGTAAAGTTAGAAAGTGAGAATATGGAAAAGGGCGAGAGAATTGAAACAGAAAGAAAGAGCACTGGGAGTAAAGAGAAGTAAAACAGACTGGAGATCAAAGAGAGTAGATAAAACGAGAAAATGGAAAGTGACTTTAAAACTTACAAAATTACGATACAGATAAATTATGTATGAACTAAAGAGGGCGAGGAACATAGGTTATGAAAGGGGATAACGTAACAGGAGTAATAAATGCAATGACAGGACCTATAGCACATAGCAGGTGTTTGCGGATATCATTGGATATTTACATAGTCATATAGTCAGCCATTGTGACATCATCATCTCGCGCGCTCCATGAAGCTGCGCGCACTATAGTTTCGATTGTGACGTTGTATAAAATTGCTCCGCTTAGTTACAACCTGACCTAAATAAATTCACATCATCAAAAACATTCAAAACGGCTGCAAACACAATGATTTATGGTGAAATTTCTCGTCCAAATATGCTGTTTTATTTCCTTAACATGTAAAGAGTGTATTACAATCTAATAAAAACAGGCCTATCCCTACATTGCAATCTACTGACGATGATAACAAAATAATACACAAAATAACGGATTTTGATACCTGAATTCGTTGTTCTGAAGCTGGATAAAGATGGAGCAGATGATGGATCTGGAGAAAATATTCCAGCTTGATGAAGAGGATACAGAAAGCGACTGGACCAGAGAAGAAACCTTTCTGAATCAGCCCCAGATATGGTCGGCATTCTCTCACGCTGTTGCTACGGAGCTTTGCCTAGAGACGGGGGCTAATTCGTTGACTCCTGTCCCAAAACTTGAAGAATACTCGGAGGCTTTCAAACCACTCCAGGTGAGATATTATGAGATATGGAGGTGGAATTCACTTATCATTCCCATAAGCAAAATAGCGGGGATTGTAAAATATCGGCGCCCTAAGTTAAAGCATTTCAATGAACAGAAATATCAAATGCAATAATGATAACTTCGAATTTGTCATACTTTTTTGAAAGCCTGCTGCTCAGTCATCTGAGGCAGCAAAATTATTAATATGGTATCATTAGACAGTGTATTTTTTACCCTTTAACATGAAAGATGATACAAAGTCACATAGGTTATAACTTCTTAATCAGAAGCTACCAAAATTGGGTACATTTGTTTATACACACTGTATAATAGAATAGGAATAAAGAGTACTGTATAGTGACGTACGTAGTTACATGTAGAATGTACATGTAGACGGAGAAACCGAAAAAGGAAAACTTCCTACTTTCACTGCAGATGTTCTACAACGAGACCGACTTGACGGGCACGACGGTTACAAAGCTCAAGAGACGTCAGACCAAGATCGTCGAGGAATACCACGCCGAGATCGGAGGAAGAAGAGGGCGTGGTCGAAGGCGTCTTCGCGAGAGTACGATGATGGGACGACTAAATCATCTTAGTTTGCCTTTCCGTAGAAGGTAAGTCATCTAAATTACGATTGGGGGGCATTCTACTACGATTTAGCGACTGAAGTCATCAGTGTCGCATTCAGGGTTCTCTTGCCGGATTGGGGAGGGGGGGGCCAAAAATCTCGAAGGAGAAAAGGGAAATGATCACATCTTCGTACAATAAAAATGGTCTTTCATGTTTTTGGTGGTCTAAAACTGTAAACGTAGCACATGTGCTTTTGTACTACATTTATTATGGTCGGGACTTATGGGCGTTTCGCAGTAATGTTCTAGTGAACCTGAGCTTCGCAGGGCCCGTTCGTCATTATTATGTTCATGTAGCCTATTTGATATGCACATTACCAAGAACTCCAGGCACTTTGCATAGTGAATACATTAACCAACTGGCCCTGCGAAGCCAAGTTGCGCACGAACATTACAGTGGAATGGTTTTGTAATAATTTTAATGAGGCTCCTGTGTTCACTTTTCCGATGATGATAATTGTTATTTTAAATCAATTCTGTTGTACACTTGTCGCCACTCTCACTCTACAAAATAATGGGTACAGGCAGTAAACATGATACATCCGATCTATGAAGTCCAGTATCAGATAAACCGGAAGAGAAATGAGTAATCAGTACTCCGAGACTTTAGGTAAGAACTATGTTTTTCAAGGAAATGATCAAGAGCAGAGAGTTTACTTACTAAAAACGTGACCTTTTTTTTTAATCATGATATCAAGTGCCCCCTTTCCCTTATCTAAATATTCCGCCATTTCACTTCTAACATTTCAGGCATCTTCCTGAAATTGCAATCAATCTCGAAGACATCACACACGTTCCGAACATCGTCGCGAACTTAACTTTCGACCAATCAACATCCAGAACGCGCAGGTTGTCGTCTTCGCGGACCCAAGCCAGTCTCGTACACCAGCCGTTTTACCAGAACGTTCAAACCCGATGTATGAAGTTAATCGTGGAAGACGTATACGCTAGTAGATTCGACGCCAGAAAACTGCTAGGGTGTCGGCTCTGTCTTGGGAAGAGGCGGCCGTGGCAGGGGAAATCTTCGGTGAAAATGATTCTGGAAACGTACATTGCATCCAGGGTGCGATGCCTGGTGCAATATTCTACGGCATTTCCGGGGCATGCGCACAAGATACCTGAGGAGTGGAAACGGGAGGTTGAGATCCAACATTGTCCAATCGCTTTCCGATATGCACTTCTAAAACTGGATAGAGATGGCGTTATTGACGATGTCAAGAAGCCAAACACGGAATGATAACATGTGTATAGAGAGCATGACCAGGTTGCCATCAAGTTCACTATCATTCTATAAAAAAAAATCAAATAGAAGTTTAGGCAACTTTACAAATTAGTCCTTTGGGAGCGAATTATAGGAAGTTATTATGTGCCAGTAAGATACCATAATGTCTGGAGGAGGTAAACCTTTAGGAACATTAATTTTTGGGGAAAATCCGAAATGTTAGAAACTGACGTATGAATGAGGACGCCAGACCTTTCATTACCTAATAATTTGGTACACGATTAAAACACTGAAAATTCACAAGTTGATATAATCTGAAACATACTTGTTGCCATCTCCTTATTATGTAAATGACTTATTTTTAATCTCGATTATCTCGTTTTGACATGTATTTTAGAAATTTGCAACTATACAAGTTTGGAGATAGTCCACAGACTGGACTGTTTCCGTGTCGCGCGCCAAATCAGCTGAAAAAATAACACACCCTCAACGCTGAACCCGGAGACAGTCCTTGCCTCTTATTCGACGGTTGTTTTGGGGGATCGTAGTGACACCGCACTCTGTGTGTGATGCGTGTATGGGAGGATGGCATGGATGATTGAAGAATAAAGCATATATAAAAACGGACAGACTCTGGACTAGTTTGGATATTGACTTTAAGTTTTATATTTATTAATTTACTAATTACAATACAAAACAAGTGGTAACAAAGAAATGTATAATTATACCGTCATGTAAAAAAAAACAATTGACAGAGTAAAAAGCTGGTAAGTGGAAACTAGCACCTAGCATTAATTATATGAAAGCTTAAAGAAAAATTATTCAAGGAAATAATGAGTTAATAGATGAAGGTAAAATTCATTTTTAAAAATTCAAGCATACAATAATCATCCGTATTTTCGTTTCAACATAATCAGTACAATGCTGTTCGACACACGTCAATGTTGAATTCTATATTAATCATTATGTGGATCCTGGGTTCTGGTTTGCGTAATTGCATAGATTTACTGAGAACCTGGAAATAATAAACTCTTATTTTGTTGCATAAACCTTTAAAATCATATCATGAAATCACTTTAGACCGAGCCGCGAGCGATTAAAAATTCTTTGAGATGCTTTTGTTTTATACACTGATTGGTTTCCAAGAGAAATATGATAAATAGGTCTATAGATACATTAATCCGGGTGTTAAATAGGTTGATCTAGTCATATATTGCCCTCAGAACCAATTACAGATTCGTATGACGGTGCTGCTATTGCATCCCCGATATTCAGCGAGAGGCTTGACCCTCCGTTATCCGTCGTCGGTCCGCCGTCAAACTGCGGAGCCAAAGCTTCGTTGTATGACGGAGGCGGAGGCTCTGAAATAACTTCGCCGTACGCCGGCGGCGACTGAGAGGGATCACTGCTCCACTGTGACGTCGAATTCCTTCTGGATGTCCGCACTTCTTCTAAAGAAACATGTTGTTGATTGATTTCGGGATTTTGTCCCGATGGTGTCCCGCCGGTCCTTGTCTCTTCGCTTGGGCCGGCACACCCCAGCCACCGGCACGATAAACAGAACTCGATCGCTCGCCAAACAACAGCCACGCATTCCGTTATCCCTTTGCATATGCAGGTCACCAGTTGCGCAAAGCAGTTATCGTTGTTGTTGTTGTTGTTGGACCTGGAGCGGAGGCATGAAAAAAGGAAGAAGCATGCGATAATGATAGCGACGGCTGAGGCTGCGGAGAAGCCATTCGCCGACGATTCGTCGTCACTAATGACGACTTCGGTCCAGTATCTTTCACCTGATCCATCTACGAGGTCAAAAGAAAGAAAACAAAAAGTTATGTGATAGTTTGGATTATAATAGGGACTTTTAGATTTACACGACGAGAACGTGGACATCCTTTTAAGGCACGGGTGGCCAACCTGCGGCCCGCGAGCTCTTCTTGTGCGGCCCGCGGAGCATTGAAAAAGTAATTATAAAAATACTTAAGGAATGAAATGCGGCCCGCATAACAGCGATGAAATAGAGTAAAACATTTACACACAGCTATCTCTATTTCCATAATTTGTTTTCATCATTCACAACATATTGATTCTTACGTGGCTTATACAAAACTCCTCAAATTCCCTCTCATTACATTACATTAACGACTTAACATCACTCGCCGTGTTAATTTCAGTTTGTTATTTCCACATGCAGTAACCTTTGTAAATATACAAATAATAACAATAATAATAATCTTTTAAAATCCACTCCAAATTTTATTACGTTAAACCGAAAATAGAAATTCTTTTTGCCCAATCGATCGTGAATCAAGAAATATGTTTGAAATGCCATACTTGTCTTAAAACTTACAACCCTTTTCTCCCGCCGTATAATTTTGTCATTAATCTTAATCGTGGATAGTCCCCTTATATTCTTTCTGCTGTGTCATTGATTTTGTTTGAAATAACAACCAACATGGCATCGATTTCGAGACGTGCGAAGAAAAGGAAAGTTTCTGATGAAGACAGAAACTTTAAATCGGATTGATCTCTGAAGTATTTCTTCATAGAAGAGAAAGGTAAACAACTTTGCCTCATATTTTGTAAGCCAGAAATCACACTAAAAAGTAAGCCTGATTTTGTTCGACTGATTTTGTTGTTTGCAAAATTGCAGGTGTGTACATGAGTGTGTTTGTGGGGGGGGGGGGGATTTCAGATTTGGTTTTGACGGGGTGTGCCGCTGAAGCCTCGTAACCTCTACCCATTTTTAAGGGTTGCCTTGTTTTGGCAGATTTTTGTTGAAAGTAAAGCCCATTTTATAAAAAATTTCGGGTGTTTGCATGGCTAAAACCCTGAATTTTTTTAAATAATTTTTTTGAAAACACGGACCCATGTTTAGGATATTTCTGTTAAAAATGGGACCCAAGTTTAGGGATTCTTTTTGTAAAAAATGTTACCCATTAGAGCGGCAAACCCTGTATGTCTCAATGTGTGATTACCCCCCCCCCCCCCCCCCCCCCCGCCTGGCCTACGGCCCGCCAAGTTATGACAATCGTTAGATGTGGCCCGCGAGCTTTAAAAGGTTGGCCACCCGTGTTTTAAGGTAATGCGACGTCCTTTTAAGGCACTGCTGGGCACGGCCCAGTGCCTTAACACAATGTCACACGCGGCAGTCCACGCTCTCGTCGTGTAAATCTAAAAGTCCCTATTGTTATTTATAGGTGTACGAGGCGGAGCCTGAGAGGTGAAGCCCCACCCACTTCCCCGAGAATTATCATTACTCCGGTGTTGTAGTCCACCCCCCCCCCCCCAATTAGTTCTACCGGAGGAGAGACTCGAGTCTATTGTTTCAGTTCGCTTTTTCGCCTCCCAGGCACCGATGAACCAAATACTTAATACTAATAATAACTCACATTAGGGCAAACATAACGTCACATTTACCTAGTGACTTATTTGTAGGTGCAATATCATTGTGATTTAATGCCTATTTTTACGAAATTAAAATGTTCAGGTGAGCCTAGGGTGTGGTGCGATAAGGAAGATAGATCAGAAAATGCGTTGGCTGTTAAAAACGAACTGTCGACAAAATACCTGATATCATCATACAAGTTTACTGTAGGAACGTTGAGTACTTATCTATAAAACAAGGGTCATCCATATTTTGCAATCCTGCACCGTAATGAATAGCTACCTCCACAAAATATCAGTATGAACAAAAATGAATCATTATTCTTTGCAGTTAAAAACATTTTTAGTGAAATGCACCAGCCCTCCCAATTTAATAGTCGTGCCAGGAGATAATTATTGTTACATAACACATACCCTGAGTCTTCTTGCAGATAAACCAGAATTGTTGGTCTACGCAATTTGCACGTCGCCATCGTCCATTATCATCCAGGTCAATGGCGGAACATTCTACAGTGCTTGCAGGCTCATTTCCAAAGCTAAGGAATAAACAAAACAGTTCATTAATCCTCCTTTCGAGATTCTATTAGCCCGTACTAGCTGAATAATATAAAAGTATGTTTTCCTAAATACAATTTTTAAAATTAACCTACTTTTTAGTAACTGTAATTTTTCACCATGAAAAAAAGGAATAAATTGAAATCATTACACAGATTCTCAAGTAATTGTAGGGAATATGGAATTGTAAGAGTTCAGGCAAAAAACTATTTTGATCATATCAGAAGCCTACTTTTCTAAAAGTATACAAAACAAGTCCCCCCCCCCCCTCCCCCTCCCTCCTCCCTTCCCCGTGAATATGATATTAAAATCCAAATCGTACGTTTTGCTTTAATGCAAAGTGATAATCATCACTTTAATGAGAGATTATTATGTTCAAAGTAAAGAATAACTTACTTGTTGTAGAGCAGAGAACTTGAACCATCTAGCCAATTTCCCGCTAAATCCATTCCTATCCATACCAATGATGTCTGGTTCCTAAAAGAACCTGGAATAAGCGATTTCTTGTTAGAGAATATCTGTTAGTGTCTGAAATGATTACATTTTTGGCATAAACATGTACATTAAAGATAAACTCCAGTACTGGTAAAAAAAAAAAATAATAATTCTCACAGAATCAAACGAAACTTACACTGAATGTTCAAGATTACAAATAAATGACATGTGCCAAACAATTTTGGAAGAAAATGTATACTGGCTGAGTAATGAGCATAGAAAGACAAGGAAATCAAGGTAGTACTAGCCCCGACACCATGTGTGTTGTCCCATATATAGCTTTCTATGTGAGTGCTTGTTACTTTACCAAGACTCGGTCAAATTTATTATGATTTTGATGACTCCAGAACCTTGCAGTGCACACCAATACTGACATGCTACATGATCAACTATTTCTGATCCTTTCCACACCTTCTCTTTCACAATGCAATCGCATTACCAGTACTAAAGTTTATCTTCAAATTTGAAGATGAATTCAGTTTTCTAATTTTTAGTTCTTTTCTTTTGAAATATCCCTTATAATACAGTTTCATAAATATAAAATAGTGATAAATATCATGACTGATCATTCGTGGGATATTATTTCAGAATATCGTCAGGCGTGGATCCAGGATTTCTTAGGGGGTGAGGCCCAAATTTGAAATTAATTTGAAATATAGTGTGCTGAAATTTGAAAATCGTGCCGGCCGATATTTCGCACAGTGGAAGGGGGGAGGGGGTGGCATAGTGAGCGTTTTTTTTTTAACTCAACACCCCAACCCCCCCCCCCCCCCCCCGTCTCCTTGGGCAAAAAAGAGGTAAATTTCTGGTCACATTTTTTGGGGGGCCAGGGGGCCGTCTTTTGGGGGGCAGGAGGCCGTCTTTTGGGCGACAGGGGGCCAAAGCCCTCTCGCCCCCCCCCCCCCCCCCCCCTCTCCCCCTTGTCTTCGGCAAAACGTCGCTTAACATTATTGCCTTATCAAGAGTAAGAAATACGTTCCTGTCTGACTTGTGATAATCGGACAGTTAACACTCACTTTAATGAGTCATGGGCTACTTTACGTGAAGATTGCATGTAAATGTATTTAATATGCTAAGAGTAAATAAAGTTTTCCAATTATTATCAAATTTTATAATGGAACGTGTCTGTGACCATTTTTTAAAAGTTCAGATTGCAGACAATTCTAGGGATGTTGTTATTACCACTATGTGGACCGTTTTTCATGACCAATTACTTCATACTCCGATTATGGTGATAGTTATATTGGCAGTAATAGTAACATTAATAATAATAGTATTAGTCAGAATAATAGAAGTACATGTAGTAATAATGATATAACTGATAATCGTCGGGGTAATAATAATTACTTTTATCTTACCCACAAGGAAGTCATTTTCTTCTTCATCGACTATCGATGTGAGGAACCCGCCATCGTACCCACATCTTGATGCTGCTTGTTGCCATGGTGACGCATCATCGTATAATTTATAGCAGTATCCATTCCTCCCAATCCAATACGGAGGGCACGACACTTTCGAATCTATCCAGGAAAGAAAAGAGCAAAGATAATATAGCCTCAATAAAAATTATTCACATTTTATAGGGTCAAAATGGCTGCCTACTAACAGTGACCGACGGCTTTAAGTCGTCTCCGAGGGACTTGATAATGAGGAGTAGTATCTTACTAAAGGGCGCGAGGCATTTCGGCAATAAGGGTCATAAACTGACTGACTTGCCTAAATCAAACAACAACAACATCAACACCACTGCGCGCCTCCTCCCTATCCAGTGAATAATAACGCTTTTAAACGATTTTGTCCATAAAGTCTTAATTATGCCAATTAACACTATATTCTTTTTTGTAATGTTTTTATAATAACTTTTAAATATTGTGATTGTTTTTTTATTGTTCAATAAAACACTTAAAGAAAAAAAAACTATATTCTTACCAAAATAGTTAAATTCCAATGTATATCCCAATCCTGTCTGTCCGTCATCGTCACTTCGAAACTCTCCGTAGATGTTGGGTCCGCTGCTTGTTATTGAGATTGGATTCAGATCAGAGCACAGAATGGCAATGGATCTGGCAGAGAAGTCCGATCCTAAAGATAAAGGGTGACATCGTGGTATGAAAGATACTTTAGAGCTGGGCCCTATCTTTAATACAAAGAATTGATATCAATCGCAACTTATTTGCGATTGATATCAATCGCAACTATGTACATAAGAGATTGCAAACTTTGTATAAGAGATAGGAGATCGCACCTCTTTGTAAGACAGGGCCCAGGCCTATATTTGCATAAATATGATTCACAAAATACCAAATTGGATAGTCATGCAGTTACATTGAATACAATCAAAGGTGTGACGTTGGTTTCAATTGGTACCCAGTAAAATGCTACGGCTATAACAAATGCATGGCCCACATGAAGAAGAGTATTAATAACGATGTGGCTACAATGAAACAATTTTCCTAAATACAGTCAAACCTTTCTATAGCGACCGCCCAAGGGAAACATAAAAAGTGTTCACAAAAGCAGGTTTGACTGTATTACTATTTAAAGAATCAATCTGATCTATATAAATCTAGAAATAATTTACCATCTTTTATCACTAAATAGTCATTGTCGCAGCAACAGGAGAAATTATCGTACACCACTCTGAGTTGTATCCTTAATCCTGTATCTAGTGGACTGCTGGTGATAAGCCAGGAGCAGGTTGTAGCGTCCGGGTACGAGTCGGGATGATTCGGGGAGTACAGGGATTGGGAGTCCCTCGAAGCCGCGAAGCTTGCAGTCGGGACTGAGCATTTGGCTGTAGTGAAGATGATTAAGGAAAAAGGAACGTCATTAGCAGTGGCAGAAAGAAAATTTTAAAAGTGAGAGAGAGAGAAAGAGAGAGAGAGAGAGAGAGAGAGAGAGAGAGAGAGAGTATCTGTCAGTGGAGGGAGAGAGAGGGTCATGACACGGGAGTTGTTGTTGGTTAGTGTTTTTATGTCAATTTTGACAACTTTGAAGTAGTTCTCTATATCTAAGTACGCTTTACAGACTTTCGCTTGAATTATCGAAATTTAGCACCGAGTTTTTTTTTATTAATGCGGTCAACAACAACAAAATAAAAACAATAAGCGAATAGAATCGAGTAGCCAAAACAAGAACAGGAACTGAGAAATAATTGACCGAAAGAAATTAAGTAAGTGAGATAAAGAGAGAGAGAGAGAGAGAGAGAGAGAGAGAGAGACTAGGCATAACGTATATAATTAGAATAAAGTTTTCAGTCACGTACCTTTACAGTGAGGCAACAAAGTGAATGCTATCACGATGGTTGAACATTTCAAAAGGAAGGTTTTCAAAGGGTCCTGCAAAATTGAAATAAAATAGGATTAGTACGTGTGTCAAAAGGTGAGACAGGAATGATTGATATACTGCAGCTAGTGAATCAAACAGGCATCTGATAATTGTCATTATTCTTCCTAATTGAATATGAGAAAAGAAAATCAAAGAATTATGATTTTAAGAATAGAACAGACAAATAATGCTAGCATATCAATGTAAAGTTTACTGATTGACCTCTAGGTCGTGTATAATGCGCTGCCATATAACCAACAAATGGGGAGAGGGTACAGTCCTCCATTACGGTAATAAACTTAAGATGATTAATTATAAAATGTATCATCATTATTTGTATATATACATAATTATGTGTGTGTGTTTGTGGTGTGTGCACATTGGCAATGATTTCTTATTCAAACAAAAAGAAAACACAATTTTTTTTCATAACTTGATCCATTGCCTGACCTTGCAGTTTTTGACAAATTATTCGACGTCGAAATGGTCAGTCGGAAGAGAGGGGGTCGGGGCGGAAATCGCAATCAAGTAATAAGGTAGTGGGGCACTATCCTCCTACACGTATGATATTTCACTCTACATTGTAAACCAAGCAGTTCATGATACAACTCACATGCACATAAAATATAATGGCACATGTCTATAGCCTCTATGTACACGAATGATTCAAATGTGGTCTATGTGTGTTTATGAATGCAATATACATGTACTTGTTTTAGAAACTGACCATACCCCTTTCGCTATTACGAAATACACATATTTACTCACCTGATTAAGGATCGCTATGACGTTCCTTCTTCTCTTCCTTGTATGCATACTTCACTATACTTGCTGGAGATAATTATAGGCCTGCTATTTTCTGAACCCAAGCAGCCGGGCATGTATCAGCATATAGTCGTTACTATATGGAACTTTCTACCTCTCAATTGAGTTTACAGATCCAGTCAAATTGGCCTAGAAGAAACTTTTTGTTTAGAGCTGGAGGCGTAAATGGCTTAGTGGTGGAGCAATCGGGCGTTTTAAAAAGAATATCCTGGTTTGAAACCAACTCGATGCGACACTGACCTTTCATAAAAGGTATACTCCTCAATTAAGAAGTCCTTCAGATAGTAATATAAGCAGTAGGTCCACACGTTGGTTATGTACCGGTATATGCTCTCTAAGCAGTCTTATAGATATTCATCAACCTATGTTAACTCGGCAAATGTAAAACATGCATATTGCATATATATCCAAATAGCGCATGCATACAGGCATGCATATCACCAATTCTTTCGCTTGCAGCAGCAAACAAATGCAGACAGTCACGTGAATGAAAAACTTTTGTTTCAAAATCCCTACAGACTTCAAAGTTTTAGGATAAAATGATTTCCAAACAGACTTAACAGTCAAATTCACGCACTAAAATGGTGCAATACTGGTTACCTCAATGCATACTTTAGACCAACATCACGCTATTGATTTTCGTTGCCTTTTATTCCGGATAGTAAAGCTTCCCCGTTTGTTCCTGGCCTATTGTTACGGATACGTCATAACGGTAAAACGCTCTGATGAACATGAAGCCGATTGGTTTCCTGCTTCTCTTTTTTTTTTCTTTTTTTTTTATTGTTTATTGCACTTTTTTGTATGTACACCGGTATTTATATGTCAGGTCAGAATAATTTATAAAATACAATAAATGTATTACCCCAACCCACATGCAAAAACTAAGTGCAAATCCTGTCAAATCTATTATCCCCCCCCCCCCCCTCTCTCTCTCTGTCAGATTTATCAAAGCAGAACAAAATCACAAACAGGATACTATTATTAATATCAAAACAAAAGTGAAAAAAATTAAAATAACTCATGAATAGGGAAGCGTAACGAGTGTTAAAATTACTTTCTTATCGTATATTATGATCTGATGCCAACAAGATCTTTACAGTTATTGTGTGATCTCTTTATCCGTTCGTGTACCGTCTTTGGTATCCTCCTTTCGCCTATACTCTATCCCGTCACCCCCTACCCCCTCTCTCTCTCTCTCTCCCTCTCTCTCTCTCTCTCTCTCTCTCTCTCGCTCTCTCTTACTCTCTCTCTCTATCTCTATCTCTGTCTCTCTGTTTACTGTCTAGTATTTTATTGCGTCGTTTTGTTCGTTGCGCCCACGATGTTATGCTCTGATACATCTGTATTGTTGCCTTTTATAATGGCTTTAAATCCAGTCTGTTTATGTGTTCAATGTTGTTGTTTTTTGCAAAAATAAATATTAAAATATTCATTCATTTGTCACCTATTTTTTATTCATTCATCCAAATTCATCGCCATCATCATCATGGCTCTCACCTTAATCTTCATTATCATCACCACCACCTCCTCAATCGTCACCCTTCTCCTAATCAATCATCAGTCCCCCCCCCCCCCCCCCCCTCAGTGTTATTTAGGGTACGCATTTGCTCGTTCCCTCTTTTTTGAAAGCACCCCCTATCTGAGGACTGCCAACATTTCCGAACCCCCCTTTCGCGGGCTTTTCCTGCCTTGGAGACCCCCCCCCCCCTTAATCAGGAAAAATGCTCAATATACCCCCCTAAATTCGGAATAATTTCTCAGGAGTCCAAAGAGATGAGAGAAAAAACGAAAAAACACCCCCTTTTTAAAGAAATCTCCGGGTGAAAAGTCAAATACACCTTCTTTTTTTTTTACAATTTTCGGGCCGGACTTTGTAGCACGAAAAGTACCCCTTTACCGGACATTTTGGCAACACGCAGGCGGTCATTCCGACCCCTGAGTTGGGGGGGGGGGGGGCCGGGTCATCAGCACAACCATCTTCATCCTCATTGTCTCTCCCCCCCCCCCCCCCCACCTTCACCATAGCATCATTATTCTAATCCTTTTATAGACATCATTATCATTCTTATCCTCCTCGTTCTCATTCACCACCATCTTTTTAATTGTCACCCTCCTTATAAACTTCTTCATATTCCTATTCTTCTCATGTTCACTTTCTCCTTCCTCTTCTTCCCCATCGTTACGCTCATTATTACCATCATCATCATCATTATCATCATCATTATCATCATCACCATTTTGATCACCATCATCGTCAGTTTATTCATTTTTTCAAATAAATATATATATATATATTTGTTTATTTTTTGTTGTGGGGGGGGGTATAATCATCATATACTCATTACCATCGTCATCATTATCATCATCATCATTATCATCATCATTATCATCATCAATATCATCATATTTTATTCTACCCTAAAAATATTTTTCTCTCAATGAAGTCATGGCAATCCAGTTTATAATAATTTTCTGATAGTTCTGTTTACGGCCACACTCGATATGGACAACTTTCAAGAAAAAATGACCGCATTCCCGCAGGTTTAATCGCGCCCTTCACTGTCTTGTTAAAATTGGCTCTATAGTGTGTTAATAGGACTCTTATAGAAACAAAAAAGATAACTGTTACTTGAAACGCGCAAAAGCGAGCATTTCTATAATTTGGAAATGTTAGTGATCAGAATGCTCTCTTGCCATCTTGCCTTCAACACCTCTGTCTGGACGAGTCAAGAAGAGGAATGAGAGAGAGAGAGAGAGAGAGAGAGATAGAGAGAGAGAGAGAGAGAGAGAGAGAGAGAGAGAGACACAGAGTGAGAAAGTGAGGATGAAGGAGGAAGAGAAAGATGATGCAAAGACTAAGAGAAAATGAGACTGTAAAAAAAGAACAATTAGGACATTGATTGGTCTCAATTTAAGAAATATATTTTTAATTGCACTAGTATGTAGCCTTTTAGTTTTCAATTTCCTGAGTACGCTTGATCCAGATGATTAAAATTGTTCAGAATCCTTTCTCTAAGGTGAAGGTTGTCAATTACCTAAATTTTTTGGACATTATATATTCCCAAGGAGGAAGTATCTCTTTGATATTTCTTATTCTTTAGTATAATGTTATAATTTGTTGACGGAAATTACTCTGATGATCGAGTGTGACCTTTGTTTGTCCCATCTACTCAAAAGTAGTTGATTTCGCAACTGTTGCTTTCGAAATCAAACTTGTTGATGTAGCCACAGCGAGCGAAGTGGTTACCCGAGCTATAGGGCTTTGTGCCTCCTGCCGTTCCACTGCAAGTTCTCTGGGAACTGTCGTTCTCCCATCCCTGGCCTCCTTCGACGTAACCCTTGAGCTCAAACCATCCATTCTCCGTCTCACTGCAGTCCATGTCGACATCGAGCATCCAGTAGTGGTCTCCCCACGTGTTGAGGGAGAAGTAGCCATATCCTTGTCGATCTACGGTAGCTCCGTTGCCAGCGTTATTGGTGGTCCAGACCAACGGAGTTCCTGGGGACTCCCAAGTCTGGTCGTTCTCGGAACCATACCAGTCGAGATAGTCGTCGCCTTGTCTTCGGTAACTGAGGGTCTCATCAGATCCGCCGGTTCTGTGGGTGATAGAGATGGCGCAGGCGCTGGTATCGGCATTGCTGGTGCAGCCTTGGCGTCTTTCGTGGCCTATTCCACCTTGGACGAACATATCTTGACCTGAGGTGGTCATTTTTCTGATGAAGATGACGGTACGGGAAGAACCTGGGGGAGAGGTTGGGTCTTCACCTGGAGGAGAGATGGGGTCACTACCACCACCACCGTTACCACCACCACCTGCCATGGCGCCAACATGAATAGCTACCATTGAGTCTTCTCCAGAAGGTACAGTGATGTAGGCCTTTCCGCCACTCACCGTAACGGTCATTCCGGTGCAGCCACTGTCCGTCGGATCTCCGCTGATGACGTCACAATAGTTTCCATCTGGCAGTCCGGTGGTGAAGTCCCTTGTCAGGGTGCCTTCGCATGTCATGGCGAAGAAGGCCTTGTTCCCTCTGGAGAAGGAGATCTGGTTGTTGCCATTGGACCACCAATTCTCGACAGCTGCCCATCCTGCCTGCTTGCTAAAGCCCACCATGTTGCGGATTTGACGCCAGCGATGTTCGCACACCCATCCGCCATCGCAGGTGCCCTGACCATTGATGGTAGGACCACTTCCAGGTGGACCCTCATCGGTATCGCTGAAGCTGTAACTGCTCATGATCCTCTTGGTGCCGTAGTTCCAGGCCAGCATGAACGCCACAGATCGCTTGTAAGACGCAGATTCCTTATACGTGACGATGTCTCCACCGCCTCCGTGGCTGCGTTGGTTATCGTGGTTGTCGACAAACACAAGAGCCGAGTCGGAGTGCATCAAGCCCCAGTCCTGTCCGAAGTTGCTGTAGTAGGCAAGGCTGTTTTCGCAGCGGCCGAGGTTGGAGATGTGGGCACAGTACTTAAATTCAGTGACGTCACCGATCCCGGTGTATTCACCAGCCGTTATAGGCTCGCCACCTTGGTCGATCACTTCTTGGAAGATGTACGGATTCCCATTGAGTCGACCAACAATATTGGCTAGATCCCCAGGCCACATGTGCTTGGCTGCATCCACGCGGAACCCGGCAACCCCAGCACTGATCATGCTGTTCAGGAAATCAACAATCTTTCCTGTGAAAATGGCAATACAAAGTTGCTAAGTTAGTAAAGATATACAAAATCTGTAGGCCCTTGAAATTACCCAACCAAAATTTAAGATGCCCACTCTTTTGGTAATCTTTATTCTGGTGTTTTGTTTTAAGGGGGAAAAGTTTACGTTGCAGTCAGTCAAAGTGGGCTAACCCGGAGGTCAAAACAACTGCCTCCTTTGTGAGGAGAAAAGGTGAATACATATAGGAGACATGCAACTACTTTTATTTACATTTTAGAAAGAAAAAATAGCGACGATATGCATTATGTTTCAAACAAAGGAATGCCTTTGATGTTAACAGCTTTTGGCCAGTCATCCTATCTTCAACTAGTTAAGCTAAGATATTTAAGTCACTGACAACATTCAGGTAATATTGTATCTCTCTACATGCAGCTGGTGGGATTTGAACCTCCAATATTGTCCTTTGGCAAGACATTAATCTACATTACTCTCCACCCAGGTAAAGTAAATGGGTACTAGTTAGGAAGAAATTCCCTGAATGCTTTAGCGCCTTTTTATGGCAGCTTAGCTACAGCCGGGGTAATACTCGCAGTAGAGTATATTCATATAGTGGCTGCACTATACAAATCGACCTATATTATTATGTATTATTCTACTCTGGTGACATATCCACAAGACTAGAAGAAGCAGCATGGACAAAAGAAAGAAGATTCGGTCTTACCTCGTACGTATTCTGAGCCAGTCTGTAGATCGTTGAGTCCTACCAAGTTGCAGTTTCTCACCTCGTCAACATTTCCATAATTATTGATCGCGCCATTGGAACTGGAACAGCGCCCCATGGGAACGTTGAAATCGTTCCTACCGAAGGGCACACCGGGGAAATCATAATTCCCTGCAAAAAAAATCACAAATATATTATATATAATTATATTCTTTTCATTCTTTTTGTTCTACATGTATTTATTTCTTCCAAAATAGTGCAGGACAAGAAAAAAGAAAACTGATTTGTCTGTAAAAAAGTCTTTTTACAAAGGGACAGGCTGTTCCTTTGTATTGTTTTATTAGTAAAATTAGAAATGGATTATGTCATTGTAATGCTCGCACATAATGTCAAAAGACTTCGTATACGGCCACTGAAATTGCCTTATGTTGATTTATGTTGCTTTTTCGAAAGTAATTGCGGTCGTGTTTTAAGAGATATAATGGGACTTAGAACCTTAAATGATGGGAATAGACTCATACTCCAGTGGCTATTGTTCCACAATCGAGTTCCTACACTGACCGGATTAGTATCTTCACCCCTTTATACAAGCTTAGTTTGCTGGTTTGATTTAAATACCTGAATGCCTAAGATAGCACTATTATAAGCAGCCAGGGGACCGACGGCTTTAAATCATTTCAAGAGACTTATAATAATTATTAATGCCCACTTAACAGAGGGGTGTCAACTTGGTTTCGTTGAACCTGGGAGCTCCCACTACCGAGTCCATTGCGGTCCGATCGAGCCATTGCAGCTCCAATCTAACCCTAAACATAACCTAATTATTGCAATTACTTCCTTAACCTAACCCTATAGCACTATATCTTGGACGAAGTAAGGCTAGTAGCGAGTGTTGCCGGAGAAAACGTCGGATGGCTCAGTGGTAGAGCATTGGTAACCAGGGAGGTCCCGAGTTCAAAACCAAGTCGATGCGCTAGTGCCCTTTATTTAGTTAAAGCATTAATCCTCATTACCAAGTCCCTCGGAGAGGTCATAAGACCGTCGTTCCCCTGGTGTTTGCTTGATTAAAATCATATACACATGCTTTCTTAGCAGACATGTAAAAGGAAAACCATCAAACTATACCCAACCCCCTCAAAAAAAAATGAATATATAAATAAAAAAATATATCAAATTTACAAGCAGCCATATGGTTGATGACGACATCGGCGTAGATGTTGACGTTGACAGCATTACAGCGACTGACCATGGATCGGAATTCGGAATCGGAACCACTCCTGCTGTTCAGGTAATACGTGACAGGTTGGTACCGGGTCCACCAAGGACTACCATCGATGTGTTCATTAGGGGGTGAGATCTGCACCCCTCCGAATCCGTAAGGTCCCAAAAATCTATCGAATAACAATAACAATAGTCCTACTTTAATATATATATATTATATATTCACTATAAATTGCTCTTCGAAATTGTTTTCAAATTTATTTCTTTAAATTCATATTCATGTTATATTATATCATATGATATCATTACTAATGGGTTTTTTTACGTAAGTCCCCCATACAATCATAAAGTATATGTATAAATGTTGTCGTCCGGTGAATCTATAATTCACAATTCGTTTCGGCCTGATCACAATTATAGCAGGCCTAAAAATAGAAAAAACTATTTCTGTTCTAAATTATCAAACAGATAACTTTGTGAGGAAATAAAATTACCGGTAACGACATTGACAAAATCGAACTTCATATTCTGTTTGAGATGATTTTGATGAATTGATTATGCTCTGCTTTAAAAACTAAACTAATTTCAATTATGCAATGTAAGCATAATTGGTATCATGATAAACATTAATTTGCAATGGTACAATATTTCAGAAACTCTTCTTGGTCTTCCTAAAAAGATTGAATTATTTGTTAACTGATAATATTTCAGACATAATAAACCCCAACACATCAACATTGGTTAACCAGACCTTTCGCATTCCTCAGCGATGTCGTTCCACGACCATTCGAAAAGATGAACGATCACGTTCCGACCATCCTTGAAATTCGGGTCGAATTGAGCTGAAGCCCCGACGACGAAAAGGGCGATGAAGAGGGCCAACACCTTCATTGTGATCAACAGAACCCAGCTGCACAGAGACTGCACGTTAAAAAAACGAAGCCAGGGTTTTATTTTCCATTTCTATTGAATATTTTTTTTTAAACATAAACAGATATGATGGAATCATAATTTTATCTAATCCTATTTTTTTAATAAATATTATCATTCATTAGATATCGTGATTTACAAAGAGAGGGGAAAGAGCGAATGGTAAACAAAATATATTCATTTCAATAAAAGGCCACAAGAGTGTACAAAAGTTTTTTTTTTTAATATTTAATTTCAATTAATACAGAACGATAAAAGAGAGTAACTGGGGTTTGGTTTACAAATTAACTAAATTCATACCAGATATTTGTGATTATTTTTATTATTGTATATAATTTAAATGAAAATGCATAATTGTTTTTGCTTTTCCATTATAAAAAGTCCACTAACATAAGACGCACGAAGCAATAATTTTAGCGATTATAATTATTATTATAATTGGTTATAAACTAAAGTGCTAAGTGACAAGTGCGAATATCCGAGTAATTTTTTTTCTCACCTGTGCAGGGCGTGTATGAGCAGAAGTGTTTCGTCCAGCGAAGCCAAGACGACTGCCTCACATCTGCGGACAAATCCCCTTAATATAATTATCTTATTCTTGTTTGTTTAGCTGGTTTCTATAAAACTCATTTTAGAATTAATCCTGGATTAACCTATTATGAAACCCGATACCACCCATGATGATCCATCAGTATCTTTTTTGTGTCACACCTGTTGCGCTTCTCGCAAATCTAGTAAACATCATTAAATGGGAAGTCCACCTTGATGTTAAGTTAGTTCAAGAAAAAAACGAGAGAAACAGGTCATCGAAGGTTTGAGCAAAAATAAGAAAGTTATGACTTATTGTAAATGTGGTTTAAGACAATTAACCCATGTATGAAATAAATCTATTCCATTCACCAATGCCTAAGAAACTGAAAGTTTATGAAATTTTCTGTAAAGAGTCAACCTTCCGAGCTTCTCTCTAAGTTGGAGAGGAGCTTGCAAGGTACGCCACAGTGTTGCCTGATCAATTTGTATTTCACTAAAGTGGCACTGATGACAACTTCGAAAATTCATAACTTTCTTATTTTTAATCGGATATTGATCAAAAGTTTCACAAATTTGTTTCTCTCATTTTCTACTTTTATTTTATTAAAACCTGGACTTCCCCTTTAAACCTAGACTGGTCCACTGGTGTCCACAAGAACTATTGCTTTCTGAGTGGAAGTGAAAATATTAATATCAAACGTATACAAATTTCAAATTTCCTGGCTACATTTAATATGCTGTCTGCTCTAAAAAAAGAAAATATAAAGTGTGTACGATGATTTGACGATTGAGAAAAGTTTCTTGGAGTATAGTCATTACGTGACATGAATATTATTGTATCACAATGCATTTTATTTTCAGATTAACAAGCGTCATCAATTAGATGATCAGTATTTTACCAATGCCATAAGATAATGCTGATAAGAACAATAAGGCAGAAACAGAAAAGGTATTGTGAGAAATATGACAGATGTCAGAATATCCCAAGGATAAATTATATAATCAAGGTGGTCAGAGGGGGGGGGGTATGCCTCTGAAACTGCTCATACCCCCCCCCCCCCTTTCACTTGTGATCCCCTTCATACATGCTACAAAGCCTGATGTCGAAGGTCATAACAGCAAACAATTTGAACTGGACATAGTTATAATGTGAGCCTGAGACTGGCATGGTCCAATATCTCGTCAAGAATTTTCTTGTAAAATTAATGATCTAAAGCTAAATGCCGTCTAAAATGATATGAAACGATCTAGATTTTTAAAAAAATGTACGTCTCACATAAACACCGCGACCCCGTGTTTAGTAGCCTAGCATTTTGTCTACTCTTCTTCTTTTAAATAAGTCCATAATGTTGTTATTCCTCATCTGAAGATCAATGCAGGATAAATTATTTCTTTTTAAATTATTGTCTCTAAGCCACCATAATTCTGAGTGACCCAAGATTATTTGTTTGATCGTCGCTAAGAATACTAGATTTAAATCAAATTAGAATGCATTGATATGGAACAGTATGAGAAGATTAAAGTTGTTGGAAGAGGTGCATTCGGGTATGATAATTTTTTTATATGCCATTATTCATTTGAAAGAACTGTGTTCATATTTTGCTTTGTCAAAAAAAAATGTACTGTCCCACATGCTAACTTTCGTGTGTTTTTTAAATTGTATAGGCCTATTATTCATTTTATTGTGTTTTTCCTGTAGCTTGACTTTACGAATAATTTTACATTTCCCAACTATTACTATTGACCATATTCTTTATGAATGTTTTGCTAATGCTTTTATTTTTTGTTGAATGTATTTGCCATTATAATTATAAAATAAGATGCTTCCTGACCTGTGCAGTGTCTGTGTGACTTTGTGCCTGTGAATTTCATTCATTGTTTGTCACTTGTTCATCAGTTCATGTACAGCTTTGTTATTATTGTTTGTTAAAGCTATCTGTAGTACTTTTACAACTATACTAGCTTGGATCTATTCTCATATTTCTGACTACCTATGAATTGTCAGGGAATAATTTTCCTCAAATTTTTTGATTAGCAATTTCAGCCGATGGATAAAGAGTAAAGTACCCGGTAATCGGTCAGCTCCGGTTTTCGGCCAATTGGTTGGATACATGGTAAAATCACTTTAAAATACATCGCATAATAGCATAACACATATCCCACACATACCATACCATGCCAGTGTCACTGAAGAACCACATTTGCAATGAAAAATATATCCTAAAATATCACATTTTAGCGATGTAATCGGCGGTCCCGCTACCCAAATCTGAAAAATCGAGTTTCTTACGCGTGTATGTAAGAAATATGGGTACCATAAAATGAGCTTTATTTCAAGTATTTTTCAGATATAGAGCCCGATTTTGTGCTGGTCGCAAGCTCAAAAGTATCTCATCGCATGTATTAAATCAATGCAGCCGCACACCGCGACGCACACACGATATGTCCGTCTAATTCAGATTCCAACTTCCGATCACCGCTGTGCCTGTATTCGGTCAGGCGAGCACCCGGGAGCTCCGGCGTGGGATACCTGCTCCGCCCGCGTGTGCTATACATCAGCGCAGAAACGCACGGCGCGCGCGAGCGCTTCCGATTGACTTTGTACATGCGGCCGTAAACTGAAACGCTCGGCCGATAACCGGCTCCAAAACAGTGAAAATTGAAATGAATATTGTCATGGCAATTCGTGATTTTTTTTGGGGATTCTTTTTTTGTTTAAATAATAATAATATTTGCTTCATGATTTGAACAAGAAATGATAATAAATAGGAAGTAAAGAGTCCAATAAATAGGATTTTGTCTTAAGTGGCCGAAAACCGGGTACTTTACTCAATATATATTTCAAATGAAATTCTGTACATTTCTATGGAAGAAAACTGCTACACAAAAGATATTTTGTATAGCAGTCATGCAAAAATGCATAGCAAATTGCGATGCGATACCAGGAAAATTATTCCCTGATTGTGATTATTGATTCACATCTATGGTCTAGTCTCTAGGTACACACTTTACAACTGCACATAATAATTGCTTTTTAAAATATTTAATCACCGTCTGTAGCTGTTGAATAATGAATATTCTCTCCTTGACTCCTTCGTAAATCAATCATATGTTGTCATTTCATTCTTCAGGACTGTGTACCTGTGCCGCCGGCTGCACGATATGAAGCTGATCATCATCAAACAAATTCCAGTAGAACAGATGACCAAAGATGAAAGACAATCAGCGCTGAATGAAGTGAAGGTGTTGTCTATGCTGGACCACCCAAACATCATCGAGTATTATGAGAACTTCCTGGAGGACAAGGCCCTCATGATAGTCATGGAGTATGCTGAGGGTGCGTATGACATGATGATGATGATGACGATGATGATGAAGATGATAATGACGATGATAATGGTGATGATGATGATGATGGAATGATGATGATGATGATGATGATGATGATGATGATGATAATGATGATGATGATGATGGTGATAATGATGATGATGATAATGATGATGATGATGCATGATGATGATGATGATGATGAATGATAATGATGACGATGAAGATGGCGATGATGATGAATGATAATGATGGATGATGATGAACGCAAAGACAGCAATATTGTAAATAGTAAGTAGTTCACATTTTTGTAAATTTCCCATTCGATTCTTTATTTATTTCTAGGTGGCACAGTGTTTGAATACTTACAACAAAGAGGAAATGCTCTAATTGAAGAAGATGTGAGTATGATTCATACTTGGGCTCGTTGCAGAAACTGCTTTTAGTCTCAGTTTACTGAATTCCCATTCTGAAGCATGTAAATTTTCAACATGGATTTTGATGGGATGTGAACAAACATAAGCTTGCGACAGATTCATGCAACAGACCATTGTTACAGATTGCCATTTTGTATGAGAAATGTAATGATATGAAACTATGTTTAATGGCCTGAGTTAAAAGACAACCTGGCAACTTGGAATGTATGAGGTCTTACCCTCTTGGTTCATAGTGGACCATATGTCAAATTACAAATTTAGAATAATTAGCATTTAGCAAAGCAATTTCATATTTTGAACAAAATTATGATGATGCAGTGACCTCATCGAAAGCTAGAAAACCTAAAGCTACTATACCACTCTCTGTGGCTCATTTTAAAGCTTATCTGCACTAGTGTGGCCAGGAGGGATTAGACCTTCCTGCATGGTCACTGACAGGTGGTTATCTCATCAACTCGGCTCTCAATTAACATATAAAAAGAGGACCATGGGGAACCAATGGTCACCGATAAGGCATTGTTTACTATATAAAGGGCGCAAGTAGCTATAAGTAGTGCAGTGGGGCTTTAAGACAGACCCTAAATACAACAATGATTGGACGCTTTCGTTCATCCCTTTCGTAGGAGGTATTGCGTCTCATGGCTCAGATCCTGCTCTCCATGAAGCACGTCCACTCCAAGCAGATTCTCCACAGGGATCTCAAGACACAGAACATCCTCCTCAATCGGGATTGTGACGTCATCAAGATAGGAGACTTTGGGATCTCCAAAATACTCAGCAGCAAGAGCAAGGCCTTCACGGTGGTGGGGACGCCTTCGTACATTTCGCCGGAACTCTGTGAGGGAAAACCGTATCCTTTTTATACAAACTGTAACAAATCACTTTTCGTTGCATCACTTTCAGGATCATTATTTTTTTAAAGAAATATATTAAAAAATGCAAGAATTACTTTTCCAAGCTGTTTTTGTTTTCTTCTTCATTTCCATTTCACTTAAGATTTTCCTGGAAATTTCAATCAAAAGTCCTGTACAATAATATGTTGGATACAGTTTGATATTAGTAGGCCCATAACACACAGTTTAAATAAGCCAGATAAAGGTCATTTGTACAAAACTGTAAAACTTGTCGAGACGAATGCTGGATGTGTGTTCATTAAAATTAGGTAATTATTATTCATGATGCACAGGGTGTACATTCTATGATACACGGGTGGAAGTATTCTTTTCAAGAGGGCAAACAAAAGGTATTCATTTTTTATCATTGGTTATTCTAATATGCGTGAAGTGGGACCTCTCCATGTTTAAAAGATCTGTGGATATCTGGGCGTCGTTTGTAAAAGTGGCATCTCCAAAGTGACTTACAGATTTCAGCCTGGGACACACATCTCAGGCACCATCGTCAAAAATTTTCAGAAAAAGCAGATTATAGCATGTTTATACTTAGGTAAATGATTCATTCTTCTAGACATGTGATTTTTTATTTTAATTGTCCATTTTGCCATTTTTGTATGCTCATCGTGTTGCAAGAAATTAGCTGTTCATCTTTCCTTAACTCACGTTATGACACAGATACAATCAGAAAAGTGATATGTGGGCGATTGGTTGTGTGCTCTATGAGCTACTCACACTCAGGAGGGCCTTTGAGGCAAATGTGAGTATGTCATCCAGGAAATCTGCCCCTCTCTTACCTGAACATAAGGGTTTAGGGACCCTTTCCTTCTTCATTAAAATGTAGCCAAAAGGAGGCATTTCCACCCCACTAATGGTTTTTCAAGATTGTGTTGATAACTTTAAAATTATGTTGACATGTACAAAATACTTATGCCCTCTCATTTTTTATTTATTTATTCCTTATTTTATTTTTTTTATTTTTTATTTTTTATTTTATTTTATTTTTTATTTTTTTGTTGGGGGAGGGGATGTGGTTTTGTTTGTTTTTTGGTTTTGGGTGAGTATGAGGGGAGGGGGTGTTGTCATGACATTTAAGTTCATTTTCTGTCATATTCAGTAGGACTGCAGCCTCTCAATAATATGGCAAATCTAACTATTCTAATCCTTGTTAAACAAATAAGATACGGTCCAGGTCAAAAATGTAGTAGCAGATAAATGGTAGCTTTAATAGTTTCTATGATGCTTTTAGAGACCATATTATTAGTACTTAGGATTAACCTTTCTTATTTCATGTTCCACGTGTGGTCTAGAACCTACCAGCTCTAGTGATGAAGATCATGAGGGGTTCCGTTGCCCCCATATCAGACCGATACAGTGACCAGCTCAAGCGACTCCTCCTCCGCATGCTCCACCTGGATCCTGATAAACGACCCACGATAGACCAGGTCATGGCCGAACCAATCATCTTCAAGGCTGTCATTGAAGTATGCATGACGATGGGGGCTGTCAAAGTCCATCCCAAGTGAGTTTGATACTCCTATTTGGGGTACTTTTGTTGTTACTATCATTGAAAAACACCTAAATATTTTTGGATAAGGTCGATTATATTGTATCACCTTGGTATATAACTATTGCTTTCATTTTATTATCTGCCCTCAACCAGTAAGTATATGTATAATCATTCTGTGGTAACCTTTCTTTACTATTTACATCCCCTGAATCATAGTTAGAAATTAACCTTATGAATAATCTTTTTCGTTGTTGAGATGAATTTACCCTCTATTTTTTTTGTCTCAAAATTTATAATTTGTTTTGTAAAAATAGACAGGGCTGTTAGCACGAATGTTAACGCTGCTCGAATCTTGATGAATCAATATCAAATTTTAATTCTTTACCTTATGTTTAGTTTCTTGGTCTCTTGCTAGACATGACTCTTAAAATTAGGATTGATTCAGCACTATTTCTCTGTACCAGGTATTTGTTTTTTGGTAATCAACCTACAATCTTTTTCTTTTTCTATTTTTCTTGTGTAATGGTATCCATCCAGGACACATCCCATTCTCTCCTCACGGCCCCCAACAGGAAACCAACGCAGGTCAGCATCTAGAGTTAGCAGTGCTAGATCATCATCACACCGATGTAAGTTTTAAATACAGGTAGTGATCCACAGTGTTTTTTCGTATTTTGAAGTTACTGGGAATCAAATTATTTGCTCTATGTAAAGAGAGTGTAGCTTGGCAAATACTGGTAAACGCCATCTACGCGTCTTCTTTTGGACAACTGCACGTAAAACGAATGGACTTGATTAACGGTAGTCAATGAATTATAAGCCTTTAGGTCAGTCAGGAATCCCATGACTTTTACAAGCCTATCGCCTGTCTGATTATAAAGCTATTTATGATTGGAAACAGACCGAAGTTCTTCTCGCGCTTCAGTTTCGCGTATGTTGCACGCATGTGATTGCTTCAGTCGCATCGTCCATAGTCGTATTATACCTGATTGGCCCCCGAGTCAGGCCACGGGAAAGACACATGTTCTTGTCAGGCTGCACTCCCTTTAACATAACATGTATATCATCTAGTTCTCTAACATTTATTCATTTTGCCAACATCCTGATCAAGTGAAGTCAATATGCACAAATATGCACAAAATCCTCTCCCCACTTTCCATAGTTTTGTCTCGGAGGGAAAACACAACTTATCCTAGACATATAAATGGTATAAATATACAGTCGAATGTTGCATGTTTTGCACCTTTTAAGTGTGACTTTTATTACTGAGACTAACCATTGTTATCTATAAAATGCAGATATTTTGTTGAATTAAGTTTAGAAGACATATATGAGAGCCAAGATCGGCAAATATAGGCAAACTGACACTTAACATGTTCAAATACAACTAAAATCTTTTGACAATATTACTGATACCATGTGTGTATTAACATTTTATAGAATAATAAATGAAGTGTCGGTTTGTCTTTGTTTTACGCTTCATTTCAACAAAATTGTAGCATTTTACATGTAGAGGAGGATTATTGCTGACTTATATATTTTTTTCTTTTTTTCTTATTTCATCTACACATACAGCTAACATCATACTAGAAAGCAGTGGCAGCGGTGGGCTTCCCAAGCCCCGCCCTCTTTCCTTGATCTACTGCTGGGGGAATGGTATCCCATCCCCTCTCAGGCTGCCCCTACCCCATGCAGACACCAAGGTTCTGCAGGTCTCTATCGGGAGATCACAGAAGACTGGTGTGACCCACAATGGCAGGCTCATCATCTGGGAGGTAAGAAATATAAATGTGTATTTATTATTTTAGAGATTTTGAACATGACGATCTTGCGTAACATTAAATAGTTTAAAGAATCCAATGTATATTATCAGTTAAACTAAGGATTGACCTTTAAAGGCTAGTAAGTTATTTTTGAAGTTGCCCCGCCCTTTAACTAATGCCTGACTATACTCATTTTATCAGTAGTGTCAAAAATAGGAAACCACTGTCTGATAGACTTGTCAATGGTACGTCTATATATATATTAATACACATGTAGTGCATATCCAAGGGCAAATTAAGATGTGACAAGTTTTGCATTTCTGAGTCTTCCACATATCTTCTTACTTGAAGTCTACTTTGTGAATATTCTACAGAATAGTTTGGAAGATTTATAGGAATTATATTCAGATGGCAGCAAGGTGCTATTGATATATTTCATCTCTTATATAGGGTAAACTGACAATACAGCTCTTTAGAATAACATATTTGTATTTTATATGTGCTGAATTCAAAGATGTCTAATCTTGCATTGAAAGTCAAGAAGCAGTATAATGTATGGCACATACTGAGTGCTGTAGGTCAGACGGTGTCCTTGTGTATGCTAGGTACTGCTATCGTTAATGGTTCATTATCTCTAGTTACCATTGGTTCTCTGTACGTTAACCCCCCCCCCCCTGCAGTCACCATCAATAGGCACAGACTCAGGCCTACCCGGTGCAGTAGATCAAGTGGTACCATTGTACATACCAAGGTACCTAGAGGGTCAGTCAGCTGTTTCTATACAGAACGTCTCATGTGGTGACCTGTTCGTTGCATGTCTCACAGGTGAGCAAAATCGTATCTTTGATGTTCTTCTTTATTTTCTTTTTGTTTTGTTTTGTCTAAATTTGTTTTTCTTTGTCTCAAGATCCTTGAGATCCATGTTCCTTTTTTCAACATTTTACTATAAGCCTGTGGGTGAGCTACATAGTCGGTCCGAGGGTCACCATAGACCGTCTCCCCCACCCCTTAAGACAAGATTTCTTAGTGATGCTTTCCTGATGGCAAGGACCCTAAGCTATGACTGTAAGTCTTATACAGGAGGCTACAGAACTGACCAGGCTACGTTATCAAAGTTTTCTCAACGTATTGCAATGTATTTATCAAGGTATCTTTTCCCAGCTCAGAAGTTGATTAGTAATCTATCTTTGTACTTTCTCTTTCACCATCGTGTCTTTCTAATCCGCTATTGTGTCTCATTTTTATCACAGTTTTCTAGTTAGATATGACATGCTGAAACAAGTGTATAGATTAAGACAATCAAATCTGTGTCACAAATGTTTATGCTATATTTCGTACAACATTTTATCAACAGACAGGGGAATCCTGATGACGTTCGGAAGTGGCGCCCATGGCTGCCTGGGTCACGGTAACTACCAGGACCTCTCCCAGGCTAAGATTGTGGAGGCCCTCCTGGGGTACGAGGTCGCGCTGGTTTCCTGCGGAGCGTCGCATGTCATGGCGGTGACCAATGAGCATGAAGTCTTCTCCTGGGGAAGGGGAGACAATGGTAAGTAGAGGCTACCCCGGCTAGTCTTGAAAATAGACAATTGACAATTAATTAGGTTGATGTGGACATATATATATATATATACAGTCAAACCTGCTTTAGCAACCACCTGTATAGAAAGACCACCTGTCTACAAAGACAACATGTTTTATTTTTGTTGAAAAGGTTTCTCATTGAAGTATGTACTAACAGGACCTGTACATAAAGACCACCTGCCTATAAAAACCGCTCTTCTTGTCTCCTTTGGGTGCACTGCATGGTCTTTATAGACAGATTTCACTGTACATGTATTTCTCTTTTTTAAGAGTTGCAGTGATAGAAAATTTGTCTAATTTGATAAACAAACACTTCACCTTTGCAATTCCCAACTTATTACATCAACAACTTGCAAAATAATCCTAATGCCAATCATGTATTATATGAGAGCTTATTTCTCTGGATCATAGGGTTCTTGCTAAGAATATATGAATCAAAGTTTTTAAAAAGAACGTCAAGTTTTATTCTTTAAAGGAATGTGATATTTTAATCTTCATGTCCTGTATGACGGTATTCATTTGAATAAAATGTATATGTTCAGAATATTCTGTAGTGTAACTTTAGTTTTTGGTGGATATATTGCTTGCTGCAAAGCTGTCCTGACAATTAAAGAAGATTTCAAGAATTGTTGATGGATCCATGTAGATAAAGATGTCTGAGTTAATGTCTTCTGAAAATGTCTCAAATCTCTCCTCTTTGACCATGATCAACAACTTCTTTGAAAATTTGTATGTAAAGCGCTATGAAACAACAGTTGGTTTGTAAGAGCGCTATAGAAATGACTTTATTGTATTGTATTGTATTGTATTGTATTGTATGGTATTAATTGACACCATGACGATAGCCAAGATGATATTATCTCCAATACATGTTTTGTAAACTTGCTGGTACTGACACTGTGAGGTTTAATGGAATGTTATATGTCTTGATGTTAACAGGTCGTCTTGGTCTTGATAGCCAGGAATCTGTCTCGTCCCCTCAGGCGGTAGTATTACCCCCTCAGCACCGGGCTAGATCTGTCTGCTGTGGGGTAGACTGCTCGATGCTCATCACAGAGGAAGGTGTAGTCATCGCTTGTGGCAGCAACAGGTATAATGCCCGCCACTCATTTTCTCATATTAAAGATATACAGTCAAACCTGTCTATAGGGACTGCTCAAGGGAAACAAAAAAAGTGGTCTTTGTAGACAGGTTCCTTTAGTACCTGCTTCAATGAGAAATCATCTTCAAGGGAAGCAACATATGTGGTCTTTGTAGGCAGGTGGTCACTAAACCAGGTTTGACTGTACCATAGGTTACAAGAGGCTCAGACACCAATGTGTCTATTGTGTCTTCTATTGTCCTGCAAATCGTTTTAAGGTCTTGTTGAGTTCATAGAGAGCATTTGAATTGATTTTGTTGTTGTATTTAGGGTCTGTCTTAAAGCCTATCTGCACTAGTTTGGCCAGAAGGGATTAGACCTCCCTGCATGGTCACTGGCAGGTTGTTATCTCACCAAATAAGCTTTAAATTAACATAAGAAAAAGGGGACCATGAGGGATCAACGGGTACCGCTTTATAGGCATTGTTGGCTGTATAGAGGGCTTAAGTAGCTATAAGTAGTGCAGTGGGGCTCTAATATTCAACTTTCTATCCTGTGAATTAGGTGCAACAAGTTAGGCCTGGACCAAGGAGAACAGCAGATAGAGGAAGTCTTCTCTCTCACACAGGTCGCTACCCATCCACTACCACAACTCAATATCACTTCAGCCGCCATCGGTACATCACACTCTGCTTTCATTACAGGTTAGCATTGCATTTTAATCTTGGACCACTACATCCCCCCCCCCTCCCCCCCCCCCCTCCCCCCTCCCCCTCCCCTCCCCCTCCTAATTATAATGGTTAAACCTTAATTCAAATTTAAACTTTATTGATTTCAATCCAAACAACAGATAGGATCATGCTCAATTTTTGTTATACATTGGATAACAAATTTCAAAGTTAAATTAAGTGTAACATAGATAATTGAGAGTAAGAGTAAAGATACCAATAACCAGGAATGACACTAATTGAAATACTACTGAATGTCACACCTGTAATAAAATACAGGGATGAGCATAAATTATATTACTTGTAATACTTTATACAATTTTGTTCCCCTTTTCTTTTCATGGGATTCTTGAACACTGAGAAAGAAAACAATTAAAGTTACTTTTATAAATGAATATTTTTTGTTTCTTTTTACTACTTACTACTATAGACAAAGGAGAATGCTACACCCTGGGTTCTAACCAATTTGGACAGCTCGGCTGCAGGACAGAAACCACAACTCCCAGAATCCCATGCAAGCCAAGCTTTCCTGATGATGTCACCCTCACCCAGGTGGCCTGTGGAGACATGTTCACCGTCGCCATAACGACAGGTTTGAAATCCATCTATCTTTAAAGGCCTGGTCCCACTGCACTTACGGATGCAAAAAGGATGTAAAACGTAAACAAAATCTTGCCATCCATTAGAAAACGCTATGCATCCGTTGTGTACTCATTGCATACGTGTTTCATACGCTCTATCTATCGAGCATCCGTCCACTGTGATTTCATCCGCGCAAAAAGTTTTGAGCTGCACAAAACTTTTAGAACGGATGAACTTCCGCCGTGTACGATGTAAATCCGTGACAAATACGAGCAACAAATGTTCTTTGTCCGTTATCATCCGTTAAACGTCCGCTGTATCCTTTCTGCATCCTCTGGGCATCCTCGCAACTTACATCCGCTGCAGCTGAAAACGGAAAGAAGGAGGAAAGATAAGGTACATGGAACGTCTATACATCGTTAGTAGCACGGAAATAGAAAGGATGTCAGCGTATGCATCTCGTATATAAAGTATTCAAAGCTGTCATCCACTTACATCCGCTTTCTCCGCTAGGCTTCCGATGAACATCCGTTTAACATACCCGCTACATACTACCCACGTCCGTTATTTTCCGTTCTGCTTTCGCAAATTTTGTCCATTTCTGGAGCGGATGAAAACGGATGGAGCCACACGCGAAATTTTGCTCGTCCGCTGTGTCCGTTATGCATACATTTTGTGTCCATTGGCCAGTGGGACCGGGCCATTAGTGTTTACCTAGAATATTCAGTGGTATCTTTTTTCGTGGCCAAAAAAAAGGAAGTTCAGATCATTCGCAATCTTTGTTTGGTAACCTGCATCATGAAAACATAAAAGAAAAGGATTTTGATGTGATTGAAATAAATGTATCAGGACAATTACCCCCTGCAGGACAATCACCCCCGAGAAATTGGTAATTGGCCAGAGGTTGATTGTCCAGGGGGTAATTGTCCTAGAACCAAATAAATAAATACATGAATTACATGTAAACTCTCACAGACTTTCTGTTATCCATGGAAAAAATGTCTGTTATGATTTATTTTTTCAGATGACAAAGTCTTTTCATGGGGTAAAGGGGCAAGAGGAAGAATAGGGCGCCCTCTACAGGACACCAGTGCACCACGGCAGGTCCGTTTAGTTGACCAGGACATCAATGTACTATCTGTGTCATGCAGCCATAGCAACACCATCATTGCATCAAAATGTGAGTAGATGATTTTAGGGAATTTTTTGTGTCATATTAGTATTCTTGATACATGGATGTATTAAACAGACTATCTAAAAAAAATATCTCCTTAAAAAATTTGATTTCATGATATCTGATTAATTTCTACCCCTTTTTTTTCTTTGTATTCAGATGTGGAGAACGAAGCCTAAAAGTTATTGAACAAGACACATGTATTCTTCTATGCAGGTAATAACAGACCGAGGCGTCATAAATCACTTATACAGGAAGTACTTATGCAGGAAACTCCTGTAATATTATGGTGGTTTTTGCATGTATGTTTATCAGACATTGAAGGTTCTATTCAAGTTCATATTTCAATGCTTCACAAATGTATTTAATACGAAATGTTAGTATTGTAACTAGTCTCTGAACAATGAATACATGTATTTTTGGACTGGTTGCATTTCAAGAGCAGATCTTTAAAGCGAGGGAGATGGCAGTCAGTTTTCATGTGCAGAATGCCATAGTTCGCTGACACCAGGCTTGGTGGAAATACCATTAATGGGTGTACAGTAACAAGTCTGCACACAGCAAAACCATAGTCCTATCAAGAAATACCCCCTAGTCTCTCAGAGAGTCTTTGGGTGAGGGAAACGTAAGATAATATTTTTACCTTATGGGGGAATGGGTTGAAAATGTAAAGGAGTACATAAGGCCTGTTGGTCATAATACTAAAGTTTAATCCTGGTGATTGACAACACCTGTATTCGGGTGACACCCTAATTCCCCATGAGAGCCGACTACAATGCGTCTTTAAAAGAAGACATCAAGTTTTTTTTTTTAATGGAAACAATTTGTCCCATAACCATCTTGTTTTGAATTTGACCATTGAAGCATATAGAGAAGACAGCTTCTTATGTAATACCAAACTTGAAAGTGTAGTATTATCGAATATGAATTTCCATTAGGCGTGGACCCTATACTAGTAGTTCATTTTATAATGGGTAACAAGCAAATGTTTTGTTTTGGAGAATACTCTCGGGAACCGGTTATTTAACATACATGTATATTATATATATTTTTGTTACGACTATCAAATTTTTTGTTGACGTTGATATCACAGTCCCAATGATGAGACCAAACCCAGACCGACACAAGACCACACGATCAATGATATATTCATTATGGCCCTGAAAGGCCGTCAATTTGGAGTCAGTTAGGAGTCGGTTTGGCAATGTGACCGAGTTGTTTAGCATAATGTGATCAACATGAATATTTGTTATCTTTTTTTTATCTTATGGTCACATGATGTTACAATTCTTTGTATCAAAGATCATGAATTCAGTATTAAACTTTAGTTATTTACCTTGATATATTTTGTATCCATCTTTGTATTTAAAAACACACATTTCCATAGTACTCTTGAGAAAGAAGTTTCAGCTGAATATTGATTAATTATTTATTAACCTGTATATACTCCTTTTTATGAAATTTAATAGCTTTGGTATTGAACACATTATATATTTTTCATAGAGTACCAGTACTATACGATTACAGAATCATGTTTCACCATGTTATGAGAATACATGTATTGTCATATTATAGTCATTGATCATAATTATTGGTATATATATATGATTTTTGTATGGGTTTTTTTTAATAAGGTATACTGTACTTACCAAGATAATCGAGATTTACTAAGACTTTTGTATGAAAAGTGCTGAATTTTGTATGTAGCTCACCTTATGAGGGTTAAAATCTGTTGATATTTACAACACCTTGATCTGTAATGTATTTCTAATAGGCGTCATTGAAACTGTACTGTAGAGTGTAATATCAAACACTCAATAAAATAATATATGAAGAGTTATATATGATTTGATATGCTTTAATCAATCCATTCTGGATATGCATGTGAATGTAAATTATGCATTTTAATTCAATTGCTTTTTTCCTGAATCACCACCTCCTATTGAAGATGAATTGAAGATAAATTTAGTAGCAGTCAAGTTTACCCAGCCCACTTTGTATGTTTACTTATCAGTATTAATGAGGTGAACTACATACATATTTTTATGAAACACCTTGAATTTTGATAAAAAAACATTGTACAACATTTATTTATATTGTTCTGTAGAATAGTTAGTTAATATTATGTCACAATTTTATCATATGCAAATTTCATGTGTGCTTCCATGTTTCGTATGTTAATTGATTAGGCTTACAAACAAGGTATTACTAATGTTTTTATTTTATATATTTCATATGAATATCGTGACTATCATCTAAGCTACATTTGAATGTAAACACCGTGATATTATTATTCGCCTGTTAAAACTAGACATTGCAAATTGCAATGGAATTTTTCAAATGAAAGTTTGTGTGGGGGAAATGTTTAATTATGGACTGCAACATGTGAGGTTTTAGATATCTCTAGGAAGTCGAGTGTGACGGTATTCTGCATCATACTACCACTACCATGGTAGCATCAGGAGTACCAAATGTGTATTCCTACCACGCAATTTCTACGGTATGTTCACTGCAGTCAAAAACAATTAATCACTTTGACTATCCATGCAAGATTTAGAACTGTTTTCTAGGATTAGACTGAGGGTTTTGAAAACTAGTGTCATGTGTTTTTACGAAAGGCGTATATGAAAGGCTGAATAATATTTCCTTCTCATGCAATAATGTGTTTTTGTATGTAACTTATTTTTGTGTTCAACTCCCACCCTTTAAGGTTGGAAGTATCTTTTTAATAAATATATGATTGTCTTTACAAGAATTAGTGAATGAGTAATTTCTTTTCAATATCAGAAGCATTTGACTGAGAGAATGGATTTGCACTTTCCCAAAAAAAATATTTGCTTCAAACTGCCTAAAAACAAAACTTAGTAATGTGCTTCTAAAAGAAAACATTTCCAAGTTAAATCATTGACGTTGACACCGCTATTCCCACATTTTCAGCACCTCCCCCTCTCTCTCTCTCTTTCTCTCACACTTACCCTTTCTCTTTTCCTCTTTTCTTGTTCTAAAACATTTCCATATTTTCTTTATCATCTCTCTGTTTCTCTTCTTCCTCTCTTTCTCATTTCACAGTCCTGCATGTTTTAACCTCTTCCCCTTACAAGTGTCACTCGTAATACAAACAAAAATTATGACATATACATGTTGTAAACAAAGGTTAAGAAATTCTTTCCTCTCTTTTACTTGTAGTAAATATCTTACAAAATGGAAAAGAATGAATATATACAGGTACAATGAACACAAGTAGGTGTTATGCCTTCATATTTTTTAAACTTACATAGTCCCTAGGTGAAATGAGATGCCAAGCTTTCATACACACTCTTTGGATTCAATCCTTCTTTTTTCATAGAAGAAAAAAATTGACCCCCCCCCCCCCCCCCCCCCCCCCCCCCCCCCCCCCAGGAAAAAGAAAGCGATGAAAACAACAATCCTTTAACTTACCTGCTTGATAAAAGATAAGTAAATAAATCATTGGATTGTCAATTTTATCAAATCAAGGATTCAAACCTGTACATCGTGCAGGTAAAGAAGAAATTACTTTACTTGTATCCATTAATTTAGGAGAAAATATCATTTGGCATAATAGTTTGGAATACAGATACCATGTATTTACTCTGTCTTTCATAGTAATAATTCTTCAATGATTTCCTGAATTATGCACCAACTCATAAATTCTTGCTGTTATTTATCATTAATAACATTTCATCCTCCAGACGTGATTTATTTATCACTGAATAAGCCTCCTATTATGTACTGTACCAGAATGATAAAATCTTATCTTAAAATTTCATTTGATTGCAATAAATGCTAAAATGAATGACAAAGCAGTGATTTTTCTCCAAAATATTCAAAGCAACAAACATTTCATATTATAACTTATCGTCATTAAGATTTTATTTTGTTCAGACCTGTGAACCTTTACTTTTCAGAGTCACATCATAGCTATAGATAATCAAGAAATAATTATAACAAATATAAAAAATCTACTGTAGTTATCCTTACCTTATCATAAAACGAATCAGGGTGAAATGATTTACTAATCACAATTTCTCAGCATAAACATTCTTGAAATAAATTTTGATAAACCTACAAATATTTTTCATTTGTAGCCTCACAGTGATCACTGAAAATGGTAACATATTATCCATAAAAATTGATTACAAAAAAAAACAAGTTCGGTCTAAAGAAAAAAAAAAAAAATGATGGTCAACATTAGTAAAAGTACTGACAAAATTAATTTCCACAAAATGGTTAATTTGATTTGGAACATTGTTGGATAGGGAATATAATAAAAGGACATGCTTAGCCACTCTTACTAAAATACTCTCCATTAAATCTCTACCAAAAATGAAGCAACGTCTTTGTCCTACATCAATGATTCAATAAAAAATAAAAATAAAACAGAAATCAGCTTCAAACGCATGGGCTCTTCAAATCTTGTCACAATGCTGCTGGCAAATCCAAATAAACTTGTATCGAAACGAAGGCTTCTGTCGTCCAGCAAGCACCGTAATTCATGATCGTTGCTCTGCAATATCTCTTTGATGTCTATACACTGTTGTCGAAAACTACAGACTCCATGTCTAGGCAACATGGACTCCTCTCTTCAAATTAATGCTTCCCACGAGTCTCTCAATCTCCTATGTTCCTGATGAGGTACATGATACAAAAACAATACACTGTTGTGGATTCTGGAAGGTGCTCCACAGTCTTACAGTCTATTTTCTGTTGCTATGTCGGTGTACTTTGTCAGTGTACAGCGATGGGAGGATCCCATTTTGTGAAGTCCCTCTGGCTCTGGCCTTCATCCATTGGTTCCTCCTCTTCCTCTTTCTCCTCTTCTACCTCTCCTCCCTCGGCTACAAAAGAGACAAGATGAGATTTAAACCAAAAAAAATAAAAGTCAAACTTTGGCAGCTTCAAGGTCTTTAATCATCTTTAATTTTGTGTATAGACCATTATCAAATATGTTTTGATAACACTTATATAATTATTTGGCAAAGGAAATCTGAATCTATATCTAAGTACAGTTAGACCTGTCTATTTAATTCACCCAAGGGTAGTAGAAAAAGTGGCCAATGTAGGCAGGTGGCCTCTCCAAACAGTTCAACAGCACACAGACAACTTTACATAAGTGGCCTTTACAGAGAGAGTTGGAGGAAATTATCTGAACATAAAAATGTAGTCAATTAACAGTGTATTATGGCAAGTGTTTCACTTCTGCCAAGATAGCAACTGTAAATTAAAAACTCCCAATCAATGTTACCTGCAGACCAAATGATTCCAGTGTGCATGGACTTTGTTAAGTAAAGTGAATTACATTTAATTAAACTTAAAGAAAATGTAAAATCAATAACCATTAACTTGTGTATGTTATCAATAAAAGTAATTGATACCACTATCAAAACTTTCACCATTCACAGCAGAGACTGTTCTCACCTTGTGCTTTTTTCTTGCCTGCACTATCATCCTTGCCTGGGATCTGACCAGCCTGAAGAAGCTGCTTCAGTCTTTCCACCTCCTCAAAGCTCTCTGCCTTAGCAATGGCAGCCTATGATAAACAAAAATATAGGAGAATAAGGACTAATATTATTGTTTCCTTTTCCTTCAAAAGATGACTATATGAAGGAATAAGCATCACTCTATTGGTAATTTTGTAGACCTTGTAGGATTTTTTTTTTGCTCCTCTGTACTTTGAGTACTGCCTAAATAAAATAAAATTTACAGAATACCAACTAAAAAATATACCACCTCTTATCAGAAAAAGACATAGAATTACTAAAACTGCAAACCATTCTAATAACTCTTCCAGAGCCCTCTTTTAGAGTTGCGAGCAATTTGAATAAATTGCAATGTGAAATTAATTGCAACTACTATCAATTTAAGTAAAAAATTGCAATTAATGTTAAGATGCGATTGATTTGAATCAATCGCAACTCTTTATGAAACGGGGCCCAGGCCTAACAGGAGCACAATATGGTTCAATAGGACAGTATACCTTTCAGAAAAACCATCCAGACCGCTGCAGCATGGTACCACGCTGAAAATGCATCAATTTCTAAATTATCCAAACATGGACGGACAGCCTTCTACTTTACAGCTTGGCCCTCTTGTTACAAGCCCAAAATGCTCTTGTACTCTTATTACTGGATATAATACTGCCAGGGTCAAAGGACACATGCCAGCAAACAATGTAATACAAGCCTCAACAACAATATTCATATTATCCTTATAGTCATACCTTGATGGCTGCAATGTCCTCTGGAGATGGACCAGTCTTCTGTTCAGTTGGCAGACCAGCACCAGGTACAAACCTGCAGAGTGACACAAGAAAGAGACAAAGAGACTCTTAGTTACAGATGATGTTAGCTTCTAAAAAATTACGTTCATGAACTGCCAATCAGACAATCCTTCCATTTTTTTACCCATAACTAAATTCCTGGCATTGAACGATCTATTATAATAATAATAATAGTAGATCATATTTATAACGCCCCTAATACTTTTGTTTCTAGGTGCAGTATATATTATTACCCCGGTCATCGGATTCAGGCTTAACCTCACACAACGTATGTACATTCTCCACTCCCTGGGGAGCATTCCGGCCAGTGGCCATATTACAAGCACACACTTGCTCATCTAACAATATTGACGTTTGCATCCTACCGGGTACCCTGGGTGGAGAGTGGCAAATGTAGATTAATGTCTTGCCAAGGGACATTAGTGTCGCAGCGGGACTCAAACCCCATACCTGGTGATCTGCAGTCGGGTGACTAATCTACTAGACCACAACACCTCTACTATAATATAGGAATGAGCAGTCTGTGAACTTCGTGCAGAAACTTCTGCACCTTCTGCTTATGCACATGACATATCTTTATGACTATGAATCAAAACTGAATGAGCCAAACCCCAAAATATAGACTTTTCTTTCCTATTCTTGGCAACGTGTTTCTTTGTTCAAGAGTCTGCTATGAGGGCTTTTGAAGTACAGTCAATCCTGCTTTAGTGACCACCTGTCTACAAAGGCCACATTTGTTGTTTCCCTTGAAAATGGTTTCTAATTGAAAATTATTGAATCATGTACTAAAGGAACCTTTCTACAAAGACCACCTGTCTACAAAGGCCACTTTTTGTGTTTCCCTTGGGCGGTCGCTATAGACGGGTTTGATTGTACTTACGTTCTTGATCTCCTGCCCATTTCTTTAGCCAGCTTCTCTCCTTTCTTTCCCTTGAATAGTTGAGCTGCTGCTTCTCTTTCCTTCAAGACAAAATAAGATTTATACCATGGTTAAAAACAATACTTTATTAGGCAATCTCACTCATACTTTTCAATATAAACAGGTGGTTGACAAATTTGCCACCAGTGAAATATCTTTGTCTTGTACATCACATTTTCAAGCAAATGACTGCGCCCATGTCATGCTGAAAGGCAATACATCATGCCAAGAATATCTTCATTTACCGGTATATATCTCTTGTACACTTTCGTAGTAATATTGGACATCAAGAGGCAGGAATAATTCTCATTTGTCAGAATACCTACCCTTATTCTTTGGGGTGAGGTTGTCTTTAACTCTGGAAGCATTTTATAAACAAGAGCAAATGCCATGTAAATTGATGCTGACAAACAAATGGTTCACCCTTAGTATTCAAGAAAACTCTGGTTCAAAACAATTTGTTTTATCAGTTCCAAAACATCTTCAAGAAGGGGTGGGGTTGGAATAAACACAATAATCAGGAACACGTGATCCATGGGAAAAGCATTTAAAGATAAACTTGAGTGCTGGTAAAAAAAAGGAAAACTAATTCTCACAGAATCAACAAAACTTACACTGAATGTTCAAGATTACAACTAAATGTCATTTGCCAAACAATTTTGGTAGAAAATGTATACTGACTGAGTAATGAGCATAGAAAGATAAAGAAATCAAGGTTAGTAGCCCTGACACCATTTGTGTAGTCCCATTTACATCTTTCTGTGTACAGTGCTTGTAACTTTACCAAGACTGGGTCAAATTTATTATGATTTTGATGACATCAGAACCTTGTAGTACATACCAATACTTACATGCTACATGATCAACTTTTTCTGATCCATTTCACACCTTTTCTTTCACAATGCAATGGCATGACCAGAACTCAACTTTATCTTTAACCAAAAAAATTTATATGGATGGGCCATGTGAGATCCCAAAAGAAAGAAGTTTGTGACATGAAAATTCCTACCTTGAGTTTGATTTTCCTGAAATCCAGTATCCTGAGGCCGGGGACCTTGTGGACAACGTACAGTCTGTACTGCTTTTTACCCTGAACTGGGTTCCTTAAAAGACTGACAGGATTGAAGAAAAAAAGCGTTACAAATTGTGAGGTGACTAGGTGAGTGAAGACCAGTCAATCATATCTACCATTACAACTTGTAGAAAAGTACATGCAAAGTGGAAATGACTCATATTATTTTCAATTCCTTGGATCTATATAATGCCTGGATTACATTTGCCCCGGGCACCGTACGATAAATTAGTCTACGATTTTTCGTAGAGATCGTAGGAGGCTACAGGCTACGATGTTTGTGTTTACATTATCTACGAGCATCGTGCCATTTATTGTATTGGCCCTCGGGGGCAGGCCAGGGCAAATCCGTAGAGGCTGCTCGGAGATTGTACGGAAATCGTGCAATTTGAATGCAGTAGCCGTGCAGTCTCCGCAGCCTCCGCACGGAAATCGTACGGAGCCCGTGCAGCTTCCGTGCAAAGATGACTGCTCAATATCACGGATACTGCACGGGCAGCGAGCAGCAACCTTGCGATAGCTGTGCAATGGCCGTGCGAATTCCCCACGAGTCTACAATCTCTGTACGATTTTTTTTTGGCCCCATGTTCACCGAAAAATTGTACGTTTGCTGCACAATCAGTGCGAGGCCTCCGGGCGATGCCCATGCGGGAATTGTGCAATGCCACCTACGACATGTATATGGGCTACGGGCTTACGATTTTTTCAAATTTGTTTAACTTCTCGCAAAACAAAATCGTAAAGGCTGCGGAGTCCGTGAATCCGTACGAAAATCTCATGGCCGCCTCCTGCCTCCGCACAGAGGCCGCACGGAAAAGGGGATACGGGCAGGATACGGGCTCCGTAGATTAATCGGAGGCCAAATGTAATCCAGGCATTACTCAGTGACAATGAGACCAACACCAGGCCGACATTAGAACAAACAAAAATTACATAACCCCCAATGGCCGAGCATCAAGTCATGTTGGATTTGGTCTGGAGGTATGACACATATTTGGCTTTTGAAAAAAACATTGATTTCGCCAATATGAATAATTAAACCCAACAAGACGAAAATAAACATGTAGGGAGCTTAAAATATAAAGAATGATTTTCAAATCTATGATACTACTTGAAGATGTGCACAAGTTCAAAAACAAGATAAAGTGCAGCATTATCTTTCCCTATCAACTCTTCAATGTTATTTATTTTACCCATACATATATGTAAGAAATGTAATAAAATGCCTAAATGAATTAATTTCCAACAAGATTCCTACTTAAAAATTCAATTTTACTTACCTAAGTGATGTCAAAGTAGTGATGGTTGAAAGATTGTCCAAATCTCCCTATGAAAAACAAAAGAAATTTTCCTTTTTAAAAAATGATCCATTTAATTGAGCATTAATAGAGGAATTCAATCATTGATGAAATTATTCTCAAACATTTGATTCACCTAAATAACATTTTGATCCCACAAATTAACTATTTATTACAATAACATTTTACTATAATAGCTAAATAGTTCAAAAATTAATATACCTACATTTACAAATAATGAATCAGTGAGTCATTATTCAATGGTTTTAATTACATAACATAAGTAGGAGTAGCGAGCAGAGTCCTAATCAGAATTACATGTATATATTTGAAGTTTTGTTTAAAAGCTCTCATGAAAATAACTTACCAATTCAGCAATACTGTTATTTGTGAGGATGATTGATTCTAGTTTGGGAAGATTTTCTTGAAGATTCTCTCCAATACGGCTGTAAACACACAAACAAATTAAACGTTAGCAGTGTCCTAGTATTCAAATTATGCAAGGAAACCCGTTTACTTTCTAGACTTCCCTGTCAGACACTATTGAGTGACTGACTGACATCTTTTTTTCTTTGGTAGTAACATACATAAAATGAGCTGTAACAGACTAACAGGTACATGAGCAATTGACTACATCAATAGCCCACTACTTGTAATGACCAAAATTAAACTGATTGATTCTTTGAGCAGCACAAAATGTACAACCATTTGGTACAAGGGTCTGAAAATCAGACTATTACTTAGGTGATTGCGATCACTTATGTCGATTCGACAACTAATGGTTGTTATTTTCCCACACAAAGCCATTTTCAAACCCTTTTGTTTTGAGGTAAGTTCTAAATAAGTATAGACTTTCAAATGCTGTTTAAACTTAACCTTTTCATTTCTTGGACCTGCAAATGGGACATAGTACCTTTAAATATGGGGTAAAATAAAAGGAGAAAACCATATAGTAGCAAGTCCCACAGAGAGAAAAAGCAGTCCGTCCCTTGGTTGCTTACTAACAAGCATATACCGGTACATGCTTTATTAGCAGTCGGGTACAACAGTCATCAACCATCAATCTTCCACAAAAACTTGAATGTTATCGCTTGCGTAACAGGGGTCACTCTATTTCTTACCATATTCTGTTGTTGTTGAGCATGATTGTTTTCATTCTTTTGAGGAGGGGGAATCCATCCAGCTTGCGCAGCTCATTGTCGGACAGATCAATGGTGTCAAACTGATCCTAGAAAGAAAATGAACATGAGGGATCAAAGTTTAATAATAAAACAGGCAAGATGACGTATGGAAAAAACATGAATCTTCCTTTCATAAACAATAGCAACATAATTCATCTCAGAAAATTATAAAGTTAAAACTTATCTACATTCTACATGTACATTCTTTTATTTTAGTATCATTGAGCAACATTCCAACACTCTTTCATGAATGCAGTCTCTGAAATTTGTGAAGTTCAAATTGACTGCACAAGTACAATGAAATAAGAATTAATTAATGAATTAATAAAAATGCACAGTGCACACAAACAACTTTGTAAAAGTCTTACCATTGTTGCGCCAAGGTTCTCAATGACTGGAATCTTGTATCCTGTAATGGAACAAGAGCACATAAAACAAATGTTACATTTGTGTAATGTTTGCATCAGAATTAAAAGAAGGAAAGATGACATGTGAAAAGATGATGACTATCCATACAGACTATTTGATAAATTTACCCTTTGACTGACATCCACATCACTTGAGCCTATTCATTACTCTACATAGACAGAAGTGCCAATGGGTGAGAACAACACAAGTGTATGGGTAAGCTTACAAATGTCTAATAAGAAAAATTTGTTTGAAGTATACCAATCACCAAAATATGCTTTGCTCTTGAAATAAGAGGTTCAATGTGGCTATACTGTTTTCAAACTGTACAAATGTATGCTCTAAATATTCATTCTACAAAGAGACAATTGCAATTTAAATTCAATCTCATTGAACAGTGAAATGTCTTGTCGAGTAGACTTGTTGCATAGAATAGAAGGGGCACGGAACCCAAGTCTGACATGGGTGCTGTGCGAGCCCAAAACGCAGTGTTTTATCCTGTAGTCCTTTATATTCTTTGAACATGTACTCCTCAACATATAAAATGCCATGTTTTAATTTAGGTTACTTTTATACAGTAGCTACACTGTATACACAAATTTTGTTTTCAGGTGATTGGTACACTAAACTTGCTTTAAAGAGTAAAGACCCATGATGGTTGCCTTATTGAATATTGATAATATACATCATCTGAAAATACTGAATATGTTCATGAAAAATTTGTCTGCATACAGCTTCGATTGTGCCATTTTATTTAAGGCATTGCTTACAAGTTATTGCATTGCTTACAAGTTATACAACAAAAATAATCATTTTTCTTAATTTTTCTACATTTCTTACATTTATTTTCCATTTTCTTCTGTGTTCTTTTCTTCTTCTTCTTTGATCCTTTTATCATCCTCTTAACATTCATCTGTTCAATTTACAACTCTCTTAGACTCGGATCGGTCTTCTTTCAATTAGTGCTGTAGCCGAACCGCCGAACCGAACGGAAGTTCGCCGAACATGGCACTTCCGAACCGAACCGAACCGAACCGAACACAAAGGCCTGGTTCGGATGTTCGGCAGAAAAATGTAAACGTTTTTGCAAGCTAATAAACTTGTCATTTTTGTACCTAATTTTCATGTCATGATTGCTCATTTTATATTTACTTTTTCCCAATTTTCTGCCTTTGTGATTTATGCCTATCCAGTGGTGGGCGCGACTTCACTGGCGCCATTTAAATCCCAAATCCTGACCACGCTACGTCGCGATCGCAAGCCATAAACAAGAATACATGTGGCATGTTCGTGATCAAAACAAGTTCAGCTCAAACCCATTCAAATTAATATTTTAATTGTAACAATATCGGACAAATTTTACAATATAAATAATGAAATAAATATTCAATTCAGTATGGTATTTATTTATTCAGGAAAAATAGGGATTTTATATTTTTCCTATTGAAAATAAAATCTTATAAAAAACGGGTTATTGACGAGCCTGAATTCTCTATTCAAGATGGCAGCTTTCATGACTCTAACATTAGACAACAACCGTGTCGGAAAATCTTTAAAAAATATCATTTATTGACAAATTGAAAACATGATTCTTTTAAAATTGAAAATAAAACACGATTCAAGACGGAAATACGAATGTAAGTAGTATTTTTCTTCACAAATAATTACGTTTAGAGCAGTTTTTTAATGTGAAATTCGTGCTGGTCGGTGGCAGTGTGCAGAAGTCCTCCGTGCTGGTCGGGCCCGGCAGGCCGGGCGGCCCGCCCAGTGCCGACCGCCGTGGATATAACGCTGCTTGCTATTATATTACCGAACCCGAACCGAACCAAGTTCGGGTGAAATATTGCCGAACTCTGCCGAACCGAACCGAACACGAACATAGCGTCTGACTTACAGCACTACTTTCAATGTTGATTTCATAGGGTTTTTTTTTTAGGCCTACTTAAAGGGATCCGGTAACTTTGTCTCAGATTCTGAAACAAAATTCTGGATTTAGCTCATGATGCAATGATAATTATAAACCTTTAGGTCAGTCAGGAACCCCATGACTTTTACAAGCCAATCGCGTGTCTGATTATCAAAATATTTATGATTGGAATTACAAATTTTGAAAACCGTTCGCCTGACGGTTTTCATTACACTATAGTCTATTGGGGAAAACGAGTATGGTAAAACCGGTCACTCAAAGATTTTTACTTTTTTGAGGCATTTCTTGATCATTTTGAAGCGCAATTTTTTTAGGGCTTCAATATTACACCATATCACAGACACTGATAACATGTAGGGCCGTGTATCTCAGATTTAACATTGTTAAACGATCCCTTTAAGATCTGTCGATCCTGCCTTTTGACAAAAAAAATATTTTTTTTAAACTCAAAGAGTCAAACCTCAAGTCATAACAAAATAGAAAATAAAAAAGGTCTAGACTATTAAACACTCACAGATAATGATCAATGGTTAGCCATTTTCATGACAGTCAAGCTCACAGTTAGAAAAAAACTAAACAGCAGAACAAAATCACATTCACGCATCATCACAATTCACATGTTTAAACAAAATTAGTTCTCCTAGATCTACGTTTGCAAACTAAAATTGTAAAAACTTTTACAATTAAGCACAGTGGCGGATCCAGGGGGGGGCCGAAACGGCCGCGGCCCCCCCTATTGGCGGCGCAAAAAAAAGAGAGAAAAAAAAAAGAAAGGAGAAGAGAAGAAAAAAAGGAGAAGAGAAAAGAAAGGAGAAAAGAGAAGAGAAGAGAAAAGAAAGAAGAGAGAGAGAGAGAGAAAGAAAAAAAAGGAGAAAATACCACCCCCCCCCCCCCCCCCCCACCTCACTCCCACTCCGGGGTCGGAGGGACCGATTTTGTGTTCCCAAAATTTCCGATAAAGGGTTACTTTTCACGCAACAAAGTCCGGCCCGTAATACACACTTATCCGGCCCGCACTGACTTTACACACCGAAGATAAAGGGGTGCTTTCAAACTAAGAGAGGGAACATACATGCGCGTATCCTAGATAACACTGAGTGGGTGGGGGGGGGGGGGGGGTGTGAAGGGGAAGAGAAAAGTCGGGTGAGAAAGGGGGAAAGACAAGGAAATGGCGCTAAGTGACAGTAACGACGAATAAGGGAAAAACTGTAATCGGGAGATTTGGGGTCATTCCAGAAGGCTTGGGAAACGTTATTGAATAGAGGGGGCCGGGCCGGCCGCATAAAATCTCGAGCAACGGATTCAAAGTTAAACGTTACAAACAGCCCCTGCTTTTTGAAAAAAAATTGAAAAGGGCACAATATTTTGGATGTCTTTCAAATAGAAGCTATATACTAAACAGTCAAATTTTAAATTAACGGTAGGGCCGCTTCACAACTCTTATTTTGCCCTGCTTTTGGATTCAGCTCATACCAACTCGCTTGTGTTATATTTGAACTCATGTTGGTAGTGATAATGGACAGCGGCGGCGATCCTGGGCCTGATAGAGGGACACGTCCCCCCGGAAATTTAGATATATAGCTAGAAAGAAATATACATGTAGCGGAAAGAACGTACATATTGGACTAAAGGATTTTTCTATAATGCATAATTTCAGCATTCTACATTGCAAAATCTCGCTTAGTCGCTACGCCCCGGCCCTCGCCCGATAACACAAAACTAAGATATGACGCTCCCGGTCGCGATTATTTCATGGTTGGTGTATAAATAGATTTTGTTTTTCCCCTTTCATTTCTACTGACCTAATTGTATGCTATCACAATCATGATTGTTTCATTTTCCCTTTAAAGCATGCGTAGCTAGGGGTGGTAGGGGCAGTAAGAGGACATAGGACGAAAAAAGGAGCAGACAAAGAAACATTTTTGACAAGTCTAAAACGGTACAACAAATCATCTTCTTTCTCTAATTATTTAATGAAACGTTAAATTCTGCGCTTTGCGCTGGAGGGGGAAACTGAAACGTCAGAAGCTTACGCGCTACGCGCGGGAGGAGTAAAAACTGAATTCAGACAAGGATTTAGAGTCGAGAATGGAACAACGAATCATCTTCTTTCTCTAATAATTTAATGAAACGTCAAAGCTTCTGCGCTTTGCGATGGAGGGGGAAACTGAATTCAGAGAAGGATTAAGAGTCGGGAATGGAACAATGAATTATCTTCTTTCTCTAATAATTTCATTAAACTATGAAAGGTCAAAGCTTCCGCGCCTCGCGCGGAAGGGGGAAAATGAATTCAAACAAGGATTAAGAATCGAGAATGGGACAACGAATCATCTTCTTTCTCTCATAATTTAATGAAACAACAAAGCTTCCGCGCTTCGCGCGGAGGGGGGAAACTGAATTCAAACAAGGATTAAGAATCGAGAATGGGACAACGAATCGTCTTCTTTCTCTAATAATTTAATGAAACGTCAAAGCTTCCACGCTTCGCGCGGGAGAGGGGGGGGGAACTCAATTCAGACAAGGATTAAGAGTCGAGAACGGTACTCTTTCTCTAATGATTAAATGAAACGTCAAAGCTTCCGCGCTTCGCGCGGGAGGGGTTATAGAAACTGAATTCAGACAATGATTAAGAATCGAGAACGGTACAACGAATCCTCTTCTTTTTCTAATAATTTAATGAAAACGTTAAGCTTCTGCGCTTTGCGCTGGAGGGGGGGATCTGAATTCAGAGAAGGATTGAGGGTCGAGAATGGAACAACGAATTATCTTCTTTCTCTAATAATTTCATTAAACTATGAAAGGTCAATGCCTCAGCGCTTCGCGCGGGAGGGGGAAAACTGAATTCAGACAAGGAATAAGAGTCGAGAATGGTACAACAAATCGTCTTCTTTCTCTAATATCAATTAATGAAAGGTCATAACTTCCGCGCTTCGCGCGGGAGGGGGGGGGGGGGGGGGGGGGGGGGGAAACTAAATTCAGACAAGGATTAGGAGTCGAGAATGGTACAACAAATCCTCTTCTTTCTCTAATAATTTCATAAAACATTAAAGCTTCTGTGCTTCGCGCGTAATGGGGGGGGGGGACAGCGAGCTGCCCGAATATGAATTTGTTATATCTTTTCTCGTATATTTTGGTGATAAATAACACTTTCACAAAATACATAATTATTATCCTCAAATTTTCTGCTCTCTCGCTTCGCTCACTAGCCGAATTTTGAAACCAGAAAATTACTTTTTCGGGCAAGAGGCTTCAGCCCCCCCCCCCCCCCCCCCCCCCCCGATGTAAATGTCAAAAAAATTACCGGTATGGTGCTTCTAATATGACCTTGTCAGTATTGGTATGTTGAGTTGAAAAACGGTCTGCGCAATTTTCAAATTTCCGGCCCCCCCTATTGGAAAATCCTGGATCCGCGCCTGAAGCATGACCAACAATAACATGAGCATGCACTTCAGCTAAAAGCCTTGTGACTGTAGCCTAAAATTAAACTGTAAACAATATCATAAAATGCGAACCTAGACCTAAAACTGACTTAAATTGTTGGCTCAAGTGAGCGAGTATGCAAGACAGGATGAACTGCACTGCGCGCTGCCAAAGCAGTTCATCACCGAACAGCTACGTCGCTTTTCGCCAGAACGGCCGGGTAGGTAACAGTGAATCTGTGGTGCGAATCCTCTCACAGGACTCGATAGCACGTCAACGACAATTCTGAACGGCAGTTTATAATCATCATTTTTACTCACCTCGGAGATCAATTTCTCTGTCTCTCACAGGATTCAGGTACTGTGCTGCCTGATCTATCAGTTCTGGTGTTAACTTCACCATCTTCCTGGTTTGTTTTGTTTCTTACAGAACACAATAATTACCAATGAAAATGACACAAAACACGTTTCAAAGACGCTGCATTACACGCACTTTAGAAAGCGCTATTTCACAATTGAACCTTCATTCTGCCAACGGTCAAAATGGAAATCCCGCGCCGTAAAACATAATAAAAACTATTGTGAAAACAAAATAATTTGTGTCGTTAGTTTTCAATTCAATTCAGTTCAATTCAGAACTTTATTTCAGACTCAGCTGCACAAGGCAGTGGTCCATAAAACATATGTTACATATAGATAGGGAAAATAGCGGAGTATGAACATGATGAGAATAATAACAACAAATCGTACAAATACTAAAGAATATAACAAACTAAAACTATAGTTTGTTCGAGAGGCCGGGACCCTTTGAAGTAGAATTTTTCCTTTTGCATCGGGTAAATGAGAATTAATTGTTACATGAAGAAGAAAAAATCGTGTGAAATTAGAAAGTTGATTATGGGTGCCTTACATACATAGGCGCCGGAAGTGGGGGGGGCAGGGGGGCAGTTGCCCCCCCCCCCCCAGTCAAAAAAGTGGGGGGCAAAACGCATTTTGCCCCCCCCCCCAAAAAAAAAAAAAAAAAAAAAAAAAAAAACGCCCCCCTCCCCTCCAAAAAAAAATAAACAGTAAAGGAGTAAACATGGTTTGTATTTTTAATCCTAAAGAACGTAACAACAATAAAAACCTGAATTAAATCACATATACAATTCCATTCAAAGAAAAAGGAAAGTTCACAGGAATTAAATTTCATAAACATTGCGCATGCCACCTATACGGTATTTTAAATGGAGGTCTCTATAATAGCGATACGCGAATATCGTGGACATATTGTGCGAGAATGGGAGGCATGTCCGTTTTTTTGTTTTTGTTATAGGGGTTAGAAGACATGAGCCCCTGAACGTTGGCGTACTGATGGGGGGGGGGGGTAATGTATTCTTATTCGAAACAAGTGATTTACAAATGTTGATGTTGTGACATGATTTTTCCGGCATTTTTTCTCCATTTTTTTTGTAAGTCGTACCTTTTTATGCGTTTGTTGGAAAATAAGAAATCACCCACATTACAGTCAGGCGAAATACGCTTTATGTCATGGTCTGCAAAGTGGCTGGGCTCGAGCCCCCCCCCCCCTCCTTTTTTAAAAAGTATGTTAAAGAGAAAAAGAAAGAAAGACGGAGAAAAAAATAAGTGACCTGCCAATGTCACAAATAAGGTATAAAAAATGCTCATCTGACCGTAATTAAATGCTTAAAACCCCAGAGCTTACGGGGGCTCCACCCCGGACCCACCAAGGGACCTAAGGTGGGCCCCCTGGATGCTTATCTGACCGTAATTAAATACCTAAAACCCCCGAGCTTCCAGGGGCTCTGCCCCCTGGACCCCAAGGGCTCTAAGGCGGGCCCCTGGATGCTCATCTGACCGTAATTAAATACCTCAAACCCCTGAGCTTCCGGGGCTTTGCCCCCTGGACCCCACCAAGGGCCCTAAGGCGGCCCCCTGGATGCTCATCTGACCTTTATTAAATACCTAAAACCCCTGAGCTTCCGGGGGCTCTGCCCCCTGGACCCCACCAAGGGCCCTAAGGCTGGCCCCTGGATGCTCATCTGACCGTAATTAAATACCTAAAACCCCTGAGCTTCCGGGGGCTCTGCCCCCTGGACCCCACCAAGAGCCCTAAGGTGGGCCCCTGGATGCTCATCTGACCGTAATTAAATACCTAAAGCCCCTGAGCTTCCGGACGCTCTGCCCCCTGGAACCCCACCAAGGGCCCTAAGGCGGGCCCCTGGATGCTCATCTGACCGTTATTAAATACCTAAAACCCATGAGCTTCCGGCGGCTCTGCCCCCTGGACCCCACCAAGGGCCCTAAGGCGGGCCCCTGGATGCTCATCTGACCATAATTAAATACCTAAAACCCCTGAGCTTCCGGGGGCTCTACCCCCTGGACCACACCAAGGGCCCTATGACGGCCCCTGGATGCTCATCTGACCGTAGTTAAATATTAAAACATCTGAGCTTCTGGGGGCTCTCCCCCCCCCCCCCTTGGAACACGTCAATTGCCTTACAGAGGGCCCCTGGATGCTCATCTAACCGTAATTAAATACCTAAAACCCCTGAGTTTCCGGGGGCTCAGCCCCTTGACCCCCTGCCGAGGCTCATTCCCTGGACCCTACGCCAATTTACACTCTACTTGGTCGATAATACTCCACTTTGAAAAACGTTCCGCGGGACCTGCATGTAACGTGTAAGACTGGTAGTGATGCAGATTTTTCGTCTGCCCCCCCCCCTTCCGAACTTTTTTCTCATTACGTCACTGCCCCTGGAAAGTGAGCCCCCTGGAATGTTTGCCCCCCCCCCCCAATCCCAAACTGCTTCCGGTGCTCCTGCTTACATAGAATAACTTCAGTCATCAAATTCCTATCTGTACCTGTTAATTCAACTTACCTTATGTACTTTACCCGCCCCTCTATACTCTCCAAATCTTTTTTCTTTTTTGAGGGGACGTCCGCCTGCCTTTCGACATAATTTTATGCGACTTGTTGCATATTACGTCACGAATTTCGTCGCAGATGTTGTTCTTGCTTTAGTGGTATTCTATTTCTTTTTTTTCTCTCTCTCTCTCTCTCTCTCTATCTCTCACTTTTTCATCTCCTTTCCTCTCTATATCATCCTCTCTCTCCTTTCTTTCTTATTTTCTCTGTCTCTCTGTCTCTCTCAGTTTCTCTCCATTTCTTTGTTTCTCTCTCTCTCCTCTCTTGCTCTCTCTCTCTCTTGCTCTCTCTCTCTCTCTCTCTCTATCTCTCCCTTTATCTCTCCCTTTATCTCCCATCTCTCATCTCATTCCCTCTTTCTCTCTCTATATTTCTATACGTACATTCCTGTCATGTTTATTACATAAGATTTCATCATTAATTCGTGTAATTAGTTAAACATGTATAGGGTTTAAAGACAATTAACTTTGAGCGTATGGTATGAAGGTTAATTACAAATTTATTTATTAGCTTTTCTGTTATGTGCCGACATTAACCAAAAGTAATTCATGATTATTGAGTATACTTTAACGATAAACTTGGGTCTCCTTTTTTCAGGGACACCATGAACAGTGAATTTTATGCTTAAACAAAATTGGTAACAAATACAACTAGACTAATCTACAATAAAGTACATTTTCTGAGTAAGTATGGTGATATCAATGTCGATTAAGAAACTTTAGATTAAGAAGCACATATAACAGTTATACACAGTAATATCATGGAACAACATAACTTCAAGAACTGCATGTATTTTTTGTGTTACTTGACAAAGGTTTAAAGTATAAAACAAAAAATAATAGATTTTGTATCTCCTACAGTTTTTACATTATATCTTATTCTCTTGTCTATTTTTCGTTTACCACCAAAGGAGTAAATACATTTTCCACAAGATTTTCCAAATCTGTCGGTCAATTAAATCTGGTGTCGCCAGAACCACTGGCCCGTCTCTGGGGTCTAGTGGTTAAGGCATTGGAATTCTCAGTCGGTGACACGGATCGATTCCAGACGGAGACAATTTTTGTTCAACCTTTGCAAAGAAATTTCAAAAGAGAACACAGCAATGGGGAACTTTGCTTCAAGATACACAAATATCATTATCTAATTCCTTTCGCATTATAAATATATAGGCCTAGGTCATAGCTAAAAATGACTAAAACAAATTGAAAAAAAATCATCGTACCATTATATAGCATCATCATTAAACTTTTTCAAAAATGAAAAGACCTCTTCTCTAAGTATACACCACAAAGTATCCCAAAAAAAAATCTTCTGATCTAAAACATATATACTTCGATAAGGGACATACAACTTGTACAGATATAATTTCGTCATTGAAATATAATAAAGATGATAACAAATAGCATTCACCTGGCTGCCCGAATATGTGAAGACGGAATATATCAATTGATATGATTTACATATATCGGTTTACATATACACATACCGTCTCAATACATTCTTAATACCTATACTCGATCCTATTATACGCATGCCTGCCTGCTCCCGGCTAACATTGAAATGAGATTAGGAAAGCGTCAAAGTAAAACATTAACATTACAAGTCAAGTACTCCAAAAATGTTCGAAATTAATATTTGATCTACGAAGTTGATAGAATATATATAAATCGGTATGATATAAACCAATGTAGCCTGTTTATGAACCTCGTCACATCACCTCTACATTAATAATAATAATATTCCACTTTTATTTAGCGCTAAAAACATCTACGATGTCTCTATGCGCTTTGCAATATACTATTGCCCCGGTCATTACTAAGCAAGTAATAATATCACGAAACTTTCTCTTCTTTTCTTCTTGTTCTTCTTCCCCTCTTCCTCCTCCACCTCCTCTCCCTCTTCTTCTCCTTTCTTTCATAACATCGTTGATAGTAGTTATCTCAACCCATCCGCCACCTAGCTGCATGGTTCAAACATAATTGATAGCGAAGAGAACTGTTTACGATATAATTTTATACAAGTGGGGGGGGGGGGTACTTAAATTTGCATGATTATTTAATAAATTCAAAAAATGCATCTCCTTCATATCTTTTGTAACTGTTCTTCGATAAAAAGCTACCAACTAAACTCGAAGATACAACGACCAGAGAATAATTACATATTCTGTCTCCTTTGTATTACATGCATTAATACAATTTGTCTTCTTCGATAAGCTATCACAATCCTGCTCCACAGGTACTCTGTAATAAAAGTCTGGCAGATGTTATTGGGTAATTCGAAGTTGGGCAAATTTTGTCCCATAATTGGGTTATATTCTCCCAACCATTTACTATATGAAGTTACCTATTAAAGGTAAAAATAGGTTGGGTAGATGTTACTTGGCAAATCGATGTTGGGCGAATGTCGTCTAATAATTGGGTTATGTCCTACCAACCATGAAATAATGTTATTGGGCAAATTCAAGTTGGGCCATTTTTGTCCAACATTTGAGTTTTTTTCTCCCGAACATTTACTACATGATACACTGTCGCTCATAACATTGGAATATTTGTTTTTTACCCCAATTTATGGAATTATTTT